GATCTATTCTCAAATTCAATTCACCAATCTGGTCACCTTATTATTTAAAATATATAAATAAAATTGAAAAAAATTAAGAATAGAGTTTTAAAATACTTAGCATACAGATCATTTATAAAAGCTGAATATGTAAATTATGCCGTTCATAAAGATATTATTATTATTATTATTAAATAGAGGTTGCATGGTTGCAAAAAGGGCAATTAGGCAACCAGCAAAGCTACATTGTTGTGCGGGTTGACGATCTTTACCACTGGCAAACTTTTTCAGCCTACGAGAGTCGCCATTTACAGAGGCATGACTGTGTCAAGAATGATAAAATAGTGATGATAAACAGACGAGGAAAATCTGAAATGGGGAAAAAATAAATTGCTAGTGGCTTGTTCGTTTCTGAGCATCTTGGTATGCCTATCCTCGATGTTTTCGTGTATCAGGCCCGTTTCGACTTTTCGCAATTTCAGTAGTAGGGCTATGTTAAGAATGAATAAACCAGCTAAAATAGGCAGACAAGAAACATTTTCAAAGTAAAACTTTCCTGTATATTGGACCTTTTTGGTGATCCTGGTCGGTCTGTGCTCACTGTTTTTGCATAAAGGAGCATTTCAACATTTCGCCCTCTTCAGTGGTGAGCTTGAGTTAAGAAGCAAAGATAGGGAGACTAGGAAAACCTGAATGTACCAAATGTCTTACTTGGATGTTTCTGATCATCGTAGTCCGCCTAACCTCGCCGTTTTGACCTGTCAGACCTGTTTCGATTTGCTCTATTTCATTTGGCTTTTGTGTGAAAATATTAAGACAGTGAAGATAGACAAACTATGAAGAAGTGGAACGACCAAACTATAAATTACATGTGCTTTGGACGACTTTGATCATCCTGGTCCCCCTATCCTAGCTGTTTCGGCCTGTCAGACGTTTTTCGCTATTTCACCACCTTCCGTGGTGCGTTTGTGCGAATACAAAATACATCAACGAAGGCAGGCAGACCAGAAAGACCTGACTTCCAAACTATGCGTTACGTGTAGCTTGAACCTTTCTAATCATCATGGTCCGTCTATTTGCTGTTTTTTTCTATCAAACGCATTTCGCCATCGTCAGTAATAGGTTTTTCGCTGTTTTGGTATGTTAAGCTCGCTTCAGCTTTTGACCAAATTTTTGTATTGACTAAAAGTCTTCGTAGTTGTCCAATTATTCTGTTTTGTTGTCTCTTGATTCTTGTGTGGAGGATTCCAACTAAGTCTGCGGTGTAGGTATCTGTAGAAAAGTCCAAGTATCTTGTAGTTGATGTAGAGTGGAGGGTAAGGCTGTTGTTTTTTCAAAATATAAATTAAGTATTTTGCAAACAAGTATAAAAGATACTGTAAAAAGGTGACAAATCCTTGTCGTATTACCAGAATGAGAAACAGCAAAGAAAAAAAAAAAAAAAAGTCTGCGGTGTAGGTATCTGTAGAAAAGTCTAAGTATCTTGTAGTTGTACCTTGTCGTATTACCAGGATGAGAAACAGCAAAAAAAAAAAAAAAACAATTTGTAGTTTGGTAGTTTCACGTCCATTTGGCCTACCTACCTTCGCTGATTTATTTTACCTCCAAACAAATGGGACTAAAACTTCGAGGCTAGGCAGACCAGTGTGATCAGAAACAAGTAAACCACTTATAATTTTTCGTGTGGTCGTTCTTATTTTTCTGATCTAGTAATCCTATGTGATGAAGAGGCAAATCGCGCCTGATAGATAAAAAACCCAGGATTGCAAGATGCTCAGACACGAACGAACTACTAGTAATTTATTGTTTGTCCTTTTCAGATTTTCCTCTTTTCTTTATCCTCACTGATCTTATTATTCTTGACACAGGCGTACCCCTGGTAAGATGGCGAAAAGGAAGAAGAAACGGACCAACATTAAAAAAAAAGATCCAACTATAGACTAACTGACTCTAAATAGTGTAAAAACCTTTAGTAAACCAACTAAAGTGGTGGTAAATATATCCATCTAAGTAGGTACAAGTTATGTCTGACAAATTGTATTCTCTAATATCTGCCACTTGATTAATACATGACCGTCAAACTTAATTAATTGGACAAATTAATTACCAAGCCATTTGGACTTTAAATAAGCATGTTATTCTTGGACATACCAAAGGTTTTACATTGTAAACGTGAAAGATTTATTAGTCATGGCAGGGCTGTCTCTCACATAAATTCTATTAGATTAAATCTTAAATAGTTATTAACTAAGATAGTACTTGGCTGCTGCCGAATGCTCCTGGGTACTAGTTAATCAAGAGAACTGTCGCAAAAGTAAAACTAGGATAACAATCAATAAATATAACATCAATAACTTAGATAAGTAAAATTTGCTCTAGAAAACGTAGTAATGAAAATAAAGCAAGATAGATTGAAGAAATGGAGAGATTAATATGAAAAGCATAGGATAGTTAAAAAATTATCGAAGGATACCAGCCCAAGCACCCACTCCAAATGTAAAGATAAAAAAGGAGAAATATGAGAAAATGAAACAGAAATGTTGAAAGAGTGGACCGAGCACTTTATTGAGCTACTAAACACAGTAACACATCAGTTTGGAAGAATAAGTCTTAAACATAAGCAAACTATGGAAGAATTGAAGAAGCATACAACAGACACGAAGTAGAAGAGGCAAAAGGAAGTTGAAGAACTGGAAAGTACCAGGCGAAGTTGAAATAAACTGTGAACTGCTGAAAAAAATACAAGGTACGAGTACATTTCATTTTGGTGAAGCCGAAACAATTAAATTAGCATGGTCCGATGAAAAATTGTCAAAATTGAGTTAGGCAATATTTTCTTTTAGAGAACACAAATTGGCAAGGTAGGCTGCTTATTTAAATAAAATGTTTGGGCTACGTTCATACACCGATGATATTAATCCTAGTAAGAAACTAAAAAAAGATAAATTCGAAAAACGTTCTGTGTTCTTGGATAGCAAAGCAAAAGGTTATGGTTGTAAACAAATGACAATGAAACGAAATTGAATCTTGCTGAAAAAAAGAAGACGATACGGTAGCCGAAACATTCGCAAGACTATAGCTTAAAAATAGTGAGTAGTTAGAAAAAGCTGGGAAACTGAACATTGTGCGCAAAAAGTACAATATATAGATCAAGATCCAAAGGCGAAATCTCAAAGTGAGACTGTGCAAGATTCTTGTACGTACTGTTGTCTGCTGTGGTGGAACAATGTGGTCAATTATTTTTTAAAAATAGCTACAGGTCTTTGGAAGAAAGAAGGTGGAGAGAATTCTAGGCCTAGTATACGAGACATTGGATGATACAGCATAATTCATGAAATTATCGCGATGATGCAATGAATAAACAGCTATCTATGTCGTGGTATTATGATCTTTTCGAATGTACTAACTAGCAGAAGTTACACTCATTAAGACAAAAAAATACAAAAAGCGAAGACCTGAAGATTTTGTAGTGTGAAAGTATAAATCCAAAACTAGCCTAATGAATACAACAGTGGTTAGACCTCTGGTCATATAAATAGCCTTAGAGGGCGAGATAGATGAAAGAGAGCCTGAATCATTGATGTAAATGTGTATACCGACAGGTAAAAAATTACATCCAATTGATTTTTTTTCATTCCTCGTTAAAAGAAAATTCGACCCTTAATTTGTCTCATTGTTTTTATCAATAATATTTGTTTATGTTGTGTTTTAAATTGGGAATATCAATTAGAGGTAAACACGGGATTTAAAATGTTTGTTCAGTCTCATTTGTTGAGACAACAAATTTCTTAATTTCAATTTTTAAATATAAAAATGCCACTTAGCGCTGAGGATGTTGCGCGCGGTGTAGCATTTATTGATGACGCTCCATTAGGTATGGGGCTATTGCCATCGGAGTTCCCTAAGAAACGCAGTTAGAAGTTTTCGAAAAACTGGGTCCTAACATACGAAGCTGTCTGGATGCCCTAGGGTAACAAAACCACAAGATGGCCATTCTTGAATTTGAGAATTTTGCGAAACTGGCACCTGTTGTTCGGATGTTGTTCATGCGATTCATCAGCTCCAGGAAGTTCAAGGTGTCCAAATTTCTGAACGCACTGCTCGAAGAAGATTAAATCAGTATGGACTGATGGCTTTTCACCCCGCAAGAGGACCAGAACATCCAGAGTTTCACGACTCGCATTTGCTCGAGAACACAGCCATGGAGCCATGGGTGTTTGAACGATTGGTCTGCTGTACGTTTTACAGATGAGTATAGATTTCCTTTACCATCTCCCAAAGAAGGCGAAATGAAAGGTGCGAAGCTTGTAATTTTTCCCAGAGCTAATCTTTTAACGTAGCTCAGTGATGATGTCAGGGTCTTAGCCTGGCCAGACATGAACCTCATCGAATATTTATGGGATAACCTAAAAAGACGAATACGAGCACGTCCATCACTTCCTGAGACACTCCGCGATCTTGAAAGGACTCTTCGTGAAGAATGGGCTAACCACCAGGCAAAGAGACATTTCCAGACTGGTAGAAAGTTGCCGAGGCGTCTTCGAGATGTAATTAAGGCAAGAAGAGGAAATACGCGATATTGAAATGTTAATTAAAGATCTAATTAAAACAAATTTTATCTGTCCTTCTTTTTTAATTTTCCTTAGCAATTTTCTGTTTTTTAAAAAACTTTTTTTAGACAAAGACTCAATTATTAAACGTTAAAAAACGTGAAACATTGATTATTATATAAAAATATATACAAATCAAGTTGTATTACAAGTGGGTGGAATTTTTAGCCTGTCAGTGTATAATGTAAATGTATGAAATAAACATCTATCAATGTTGATCATTAATCGTAAGCTATTTGTTAATGAAAAGCTCTAACAGTGGTGATTCCATCCTCCTCTAGTAGGGAAATTGCTGTGCCTTCCTAGGTGGATCTTCGGCTTGGTGGGAGTCGCCGTTTACATGACAAAGGGCCACGGTTTTTTCAACGGCTATATAAGACGTTTACTTGGCCGACACACGTGCAGTGTCAGTCTGAACTTTACCGTGTTACACTCTCAGATGACAGGTGAGTCGGATTTCCTCTACAGTCGATACCTTCACCCCAAATAAGTCTAATTGTGTAGATTATTTTTATTTATGAATCAAGAAAAATAAGAAAAGCGTTTCTCATCGGTGAATTAGAATTTGTCTTCATTGATTTTTTTTTTTTTTTTACTGCCAATAGAGAGAAAAATTTTCAGGAGGAGGCTCGTATTATTAGTTCAAATCGTAACTTCCCAATTTTTTCAACCACATAGAATTATCAAATCAATTATCAAATCCTTTGTTGCAAAGCTTAAGTTTCAATACCAATAATAAGCACAAAAAATTGAAAAACTTTATTGATTTTTCTTAATTCGTGACACTTCTTGTGATCTCTAGGTGAGACCTAACCCACACCTAAATTTTATCGCTATTTTTTAAAATTTATTTTCTAATAATTTAGGTCTGCCTATCCTCGCTGGATTGGTTTGTCTAACGCGTTTCGGCATTTTGTCATCTTCAGTGGGTCAATTTTTTTAGTTAACCTAGTGAGATAAATTTCAGGTTATCACCTTATGAACATCATGGAGAAAACTCTCGTTTTGTTGAAACAATCAATAAATAACACTATTGGTATTTAAAAAATTCATCTATCTATATCACAAAAATTAAATACCCTCCATAAATACTATTGATTTTTATCATTTACTGCTGATTAAGTTTGTAAAATAAAACAAGAAGATTCCTGTTACATGCTTGTCCACCCTAACCACCCTAAATATTTGACATCTCTCTCTTTCTCTGAACAGTCTGATTTATTTACTAAAATACTTTTTCAGTCGACTTTATCATTGCTACTCATAAATTCGAAATAAACAAGAAGATATCGGCAAAACCTTAAGTGATTCAGACAAAAGAAAAATATAAAATGCTTTTTCACCCTAGTTGTTATTATTTAAATCCTGTTTGTTAAATTAAGCTCATTTTCCTGGTAAAAAATCCACAACAGACTATTTAAAAAAAACATTGAGTACCACAAGGACTCCAGGGGGTTGTCTACCATTTTAGTCCCAACGCTTTTGTACTCATTATCTTTTATATTTACAACTTTTCAAGTAGGGTGGTTTCTCCATCTTTACACTATTAAATAACTAATCGAATTGAGGTTCGTTGAGGTAGTCAATATTCCACCATCGGATGGACATGAAACATTCACCCTAATAAATACATGTCAGTATACACCACAAAGCAACATATGAAGTTGTACAATACAATAAAACAGCTGTGTTTTCTGACAATTCAGCACCTGACACGTGCAGTTCCAAAATTATTCGTACTCACGTTCTTTCTTAAATACATTCACTCCTATTTACATACATACCATTCATTCAATTAGGGTGATGGGGTACTCGTTATTCCGCCATTGACCCTCTCACATCACACATTCATGCTAATAAATACATTCACTCATAGCACAACTATTATTACTATACACAATAGAACAACCCCGTTCCCTCCAAGAATTGGAACAGGTGACCCAAAGACTCTACCGTACTGAAGCACAATTCTCATTTCAAGGAGCATTCCTACACGCTCTCTATAAATATCCAAGGAATGACACCCTTCAATTATGTAGGACACAATGAACAATTTTTCCCCTCACAACCGCGGGCTTCAGCCCAAAAGTGACTATATATCAACTTAGTACATAGAAACCTTTTTTACTTGTTAGTAGTAGTAGTCGGGTGGGTTTGTTCTATCTTCTTCAATGGAATTGTCAAATAGACATCAATGTTAATATAATAAAATCACCCACTTCTCAATTTTTTTAAAAATTACTCTCATCACAAGAAATATCATAAATTATATAACGAACAGCTAACCATTTTTACGGGGGTTCGCAACAACAGAGGTCATATTAACCCCGGGTGCGGGTGTTTTTAAAAAAATGACTATTTTACTTTGAAAATTCTATTCAATCTAACTGAAAGTTCTAAATATAAAAATATCATGTTGTGAATTAATTAATACGATCTTATTATTCTTTGCTATAGCTATGTTCTCGGTCGTGTTTCTTGCGATCATGTTGGGCGTCGCCAGCTGTACGATCAACGAGGAGAGCAGGGATTTCATGGGATACAATCCATCCCCGGTCGGTTATGAGACTTACGACAATTCAGCAACTTACAACACTGTTGAAAAATGGCCTCCGACTTCTTTAGCGCTACCGAGTTGTGAGTATACCATTCATTATGTTTATTTTCGCGTTACCTTCAACTTTGGATCCGTTTAATCTCGTTTTTACACGCATAATTTTCAATTTCATATTTTTCACTGTATTTTTGAAAGCAGTAAATATTACTAGATTGTAATCGTTAATTACTTCAACTCAGGCTTGTGCCGGTACGTTGGTGAATCATTACATAGTAACATGGAGCCGTGGATGAGTAGTACTTTGAATGACTTGGACTGTAAGTTGGACTAAGGAGAAACTCGAATTCGAACTTTTTTAAATTTTGAATTTTCTACTTGAGATCTGTGAGGTGATGGTACAGCTTGAATGTGTCGACCATTGTAGTCAACCTCTCCTCTTCTGCCAGAGTTTACAGGTTTTTACCTACCCCCCTAAATCTTTGATATCGTCTGACGACTTGGGCCAGTTATGAGCTTCATCGAAGTTTGAGGTTGAATGAATGTACCACCTAACGTCGTGTCAAAAGGGAAAATGTTTGAAAATGTCTAAAAATTGTTTTTATATCACGTTTATCGTTAGCTCACTCCTTGACCTGAAATCTCTTTAAGGCTAAGGTCAAAAAGAGACCTCTTTGCGACCTTACATACTGCGACCAACATTGATCTATTGCGAAAATCTAGTTGAGCTTGAGGCTTTTGTCAGATCTCAAAGTTTTATCAATGGCTCACCTCCTTCAGACTTTGGTCTTTCCTCACCCAGGAGTAGCAAGCTCGCCTGCATAGGGTTTCGCATAGAGGACGTGTTCCACTATTTCTTCTCCTTTCTGGTAATATCTGCACAGGTTTGTCATAGCTCTGTTTATACATATGTCTCCGGAGTGTGCAATGTTCAGGCAGCAGCCCTATTTTAGTCCTAACACGTCGTAGGTTTAGTAGTTCTACCATTTTTGTGGTGGTTCTTTGACTTTTGCAAGCCTTTGTCCTAGAATACAGTGCCATTGAACTGAGGACTTATTCATAAACCATGGATGTATCTACGATTTTGGCAATTTGGTATGCAACAAAAGTGTTCAGGGCCTATTTCTATTTCTATGTCTATTTCGAACTTTGTTCAATTTATCGGTGACCTCGTTGCCTGGGAGACCCTAACAAGCGGAATTTTGTTGTTGTCCTTAATGTCTGACATGTTTGATGCATGCCAAACGGCTCTGAAATTTACTACTGATGTAGTTGCATGTAATGCCGCCAAGCTGTCCGCGTATATGGCTACTCTTTTGTTAGTTCGTTGCCATCTTGTGACCTCCTTGCCACAGTCTACACGTGAAAGACAGTGACACTTGCAGAATTTCCGAATTGGTTTATTTCTGTAGCTATATGCTCACTTGGATCAGCCCCAACCCGTGGCATGCAGACATCTATATCAGGGTGGACAATAACGAAAACACAAGAGCTATCTTATTTATACAACGGCCAATCATCTCCTCATGGCTCCATATTCATGTAGTTAGATATTGCAGCAATAAAAATTCCTTGAATTAAGTAAGACCAAAGTAAGGACTGACACACTGCTCCTGGAATTTAAGAGCAAATTGTGTCCTTTCTCTTATTATCTTGGATTTTGTCACGGACTTGAATCTACAGCTAGGTATTAGTTTTTTGGTTTTCAGCCGAGGAAGTGCTGAAGATCGCATTTCGTGTGTCCAAACGAAAATGGAGAGTTTAATGACATTGGATTGTCTTGTCGAGACCAATATCATCACATAATTCAATATAATAACTAATAAATATACTACTCTGAAGAAATAGCGAATAAACAAGAATTAACGGATCCAAAGTAATGTTCGACGATCAAATTATTTAACCTTTTAATTTTTTTAATTATTTAACAATAAATTTAATTTAAGTAACCAATAAAACATTTTAGTCGGGGCTTGCGGAGGTTCTCTGTTAAAGCCTCTTCTGGCGGGACTTGTCGGGGCCGCCTTGCTCAAACTGCCCGTCCTCATCGCGGCGAAACTGTTGCTGCTTAAACTAGCACTTCCTCTCGGATTACTGACAGCAGCTGCACCTCTCGCCCTTCCGCTCGTTTACATGTTTTTCTCGAAGGGAAAAGAGTCTTCATCGTCGACGCCTAAACCACCAGCGATGGAAGAAGGTCGTGCTCTATACCAATTTTTGGAGTCGTCGTCCTGCCTGGAACGAATCGCCTGCTCCGTCGGGCGGTCTCAATCGAAAACCCCGACAGTCAAAGCATTCTCCTGGTAAGTATTCTTCCTTCATTTTATTGCAAAGATAATATGTTAGTTTAGGTTATCAATGATTAAGATTCGGCCTTTTAACGAGCTCACGTTAGTCTAGAAGTCTTCGTTAACCTTAAGACTAACCTTATTACCAGGTCCTAATGCTTTGGGGGTTAAAAGGCTTTCAAGGTTTTTCTGTATCCTTCAGGTCTTGACTATTCCTGAATATCAGCCTGCATAGGCCTTTGCATCAACAGATGACATGTTCTGCTGTTTCTTCTTCTTCATGGCAATATCTTCTCGGGTTTCTTCTATACCAAGTCTTTATTATATTCTTCGATATATCTCATTTGCAACTTATTCTGATAACACCATCTCCAATGTATTGCGCAGCTGTTAGGAAACCTGCACAACCCATACACCACCACCTCCATAGCGTATCCGTAGTGAATATATATATATAAAATCTTCTGTTCTTCAATCCTCTCTCGGTCGTCAGAAGATCTCAAACAAAACCTTGACTCATCCGAAAACATGATTTTAGTCCAAACTTAATCAAACCAATTGATTTTTGCGGTCAAAAGTTCTGGACCGGTGGCAAGCCTTCTCGCACGTAATCCAGCTTCTGAAAGTCTTCGCCTTACAGTGCGTAAACTGATATTAACATTTCTGGCTTGTTGTTGCTTGATTTCAACAGCTGGAGGATGTAGTTCACGGAGTACACTCGAAATACTAAACGATCCTCTCTCTGACATGTGACTCGATGACGACCTGATCCAAGTCTTCTGGAGGTAACCTCCAGTATTTTGATAGCGATGGGAGACCCTTTGGACCGTTCTTCTGGGTACGTTAAGTACCCTGGTCACATACGCTTGACTTTTCCCATCTTCCAACACTACTATGATTCTAACCGAATTTGTATTACTTAAAACATCGCTCAAACAAATTTGAAACATTAAAAATGGTGCTACTTAAAAAAATCAAACCATCGGAACGTTATAAAGAAGCTTTACTGAAAAGCCAACAAAGAAGAGATTGACTATTCAAAAATTTGTTACAAAATACAATTGTAAACACAAGTGGGAAATTTTATGTTTTATTTACCTCTAATCCTTTAAAACGGACTAATTGTTGTAAGAACATCATTGGAGGATAGACTAAAAGATAATTAAAAATATTAAGGGTGGCCACTGTTTTTCCTTTCTCAGTGTATTAGTCCTCAAAGAAGATGAGGGTGGAAATCTGGTCTAAAGGGAGATTGAGTGCAATTTGGCCACAAGCGAAACTTTTGTCGTCTCCTGAATCGTGGCGTGCCTCTATCATCAATCATCAGTCCAAGTCCGAATAGAACAAGAGAAGGAATTTACAAACGATTTGTCTTCTCTTCTTTACTGGCAACAACGGCACGCCCGCGGACAAATTATTCCGACCGGCACGCACCCGGTTTTACGTCCTGGATATCTTTTATTCTCCACCATTCGGCCCGAACGCGAATGAATGAATGGCCGAAAAAAGTTACATTTATAACAGGTGCTCCGTTAGGACCTAGTTATCTTGGTTGATATTTATTCAAACGGCGTTAGAAAGTGACCGAGCGATATTCACGAAATTGTCCCTGCTGGTAATGGTTGTCCATTTGGCCTACATTGTCTCTTTTTTTTGTGTATATGTGTGTGTGGGAGCTTCATTTAAAATCCTAGCATATTATTCTGTACGCGCTTCTTCTTTTATTTTCATAGTTTCAACTCGTTTATAAATGTATGTCGCGATTTTTCCTTCCCACAATTTAGCTTGGGACTCGCTGTAAATCTTCGCAGTACGTAATTTATCTCTCTAAACAGAAATGTTTACAAAAACAATCTATTCGTCTATTTTTCTACTGTACTGCATGCTTTGGAGTTATTGGTTTGTAACATATGAAATGTTACGGTGTTAATTAAAATTATTTATAGATTACTTCATTCATCAAAATAAGCTTGAGTCTGATATTTTCACTTCTGCCACCAAGGAACAAACATTGCTGAAATTAGGTGTCATCGATGGAACGAATTTTTGGTGAATAATTAATTGGTGAATTTCCCTCACCAATTAATTATTATTTTTTTATAAAGTTATCCAAACTCCGATAAAAAGGAAAAGTAAGATAGAGAAAAGTCGGGTTAATGAAAGCACATCCATTTCCACATCCCTTAATTTTTGAACGATAAACATTGAAACGTGGGGGCGAGCTTTGTCATGTAGCAATGGACACTTTTTCTATTTCCTGAGTAGATCTTTTTCCAGATAATTGATTAATTGGGTAATTCACTTTTTTTGGGAGGGGGGAAAATATCTGAGCTTATGTTGATGTTTCTCATCCTTATCCAACTACTACCTAGCACCGGATGTCATATAAAACCAACTTAACATCAAATAATTAAATTCACTAATTTCGTGGTCCGCTTGACCAATTAATACATTACAATTAATTAAGGTTTTTAGTTGAAAAATGGCAAAAAGGAGGGAAAACTCATAAGGTGGGGTTGAGATAGGAAGTTGATGTCCGAGTAGATCGAAGTCACGATAGCTCAAGTGGTAGAGCAGCGGCGTATCTAGCCGAAGATCGTGGGTTCGAATCCCGTTCGTGCCATTAACTTTTTTTCATCTCAACTAAAAACCTTAATTAATTAACATCAAAGGTAACTAAAACATGTAAGAGACAAAACAAAGAGATTTTTTCGTATCGAGTGCGCAACAGAACCTCCGTTAACATATTTCCAGCTTTTTCTCCGACCGCATTAAGATGCCAGAAAGCAGTCACTTACTCCAATTTACTTTTAATAAATGATTATGCAATTCTTAACTGCTAGAAATTATTGTTTCGCCTGCTGGCAAAAATAATAATGGATTAACTCAGCCATACTTCACCGAACTGTGATTTTTGGTTTGAGGAATTGTTCTGAGTTATGTGTCGGGGTATCTCACTCTACTGATCCTTTGGGTTGTCGTACAACTTTTCATCACATGTGATAAAACGGTATATGAAAGGCTAATTTCAGTTGTGCAACTAGAGCTCAGAGCCTTAATCGACTAAATATGCCTCGGTTAATTCATGTGGCACTCATGTCTGCCAAATAACTAAACTAAGAGAAGAAAGGTAAGGGAGGACTTTAAATGAGGGCAAATTGGGCATAAGGTCGACTACTGCTCTGCAGGTGTTAATACAGCTAACACTACAACATATTTTATTCAGGATAAAGCAAGATTAGTTGTATTTCGATTCATGCAAGCACATACTATTTCATGACACTCAGCAACTAGAACATAGTGGGAATTTTATTAAAACGAAGCAACACACATGGGTGAAATGATTCTTAGGCTTTACAAAGAAATTATAGTTCCAGAAATGGCAAAAAGAACTACTTGTTAACGCCGACACTAATTGCTATACTGAACAGTTCAAAAACCAAAATGGCTCCTCACTTTTTGTTTTTTCAAGCCCCCTAAAAATGACTCATGCTCCAAAATCTAATATGTTACCTCATTCAACTTATTTCTTTCTTAAGTTGCTTAATATTCACTGAATTCTCTGTCTGTTAAAGGATGCTGAAATCATTGGAGTCAATGCTTGGCAAGCAGGAGGAAGCCAGGGCCAGGGTCGGCTCGTATCGTTCAGCATATTTAGCCGGTGCAGCTAAAGATGCAGTGTCGTGTTCCTCGTATAAATGCAACCTTCCTGAGATCTTCATGCGCCAGGGGGAGTCTTCTTACAAGCTTTTCTGACCGAGGAAGTTTCGAGGCTGACGGAAGACTGAACTTTTATTTTTTGATTTATCATAACAACAGATTCAACGTATCCCTTACGTTCCACAACGATTTGTAAGCTCAATATTTCTCGGGGAAAAGGAGGAAAAAATTTTGTACTTATAATAGGCAAATTAGTACTCAAAAGTCCCGTTTTTTCCTATAAGAAGGGAAATGAGAAAAAATCAAAATATTAAATACGAGAAAACTAAGTCACCCTTATGAAGGCTAATTTGGATTAAATAACTCGAGAAATTTACTTTTCTTTTCTCCTTTTAAAAACTTTATTTATTGTTTCTTTTTATATTGATACTAATCTTTTCCCATTAAAAAACTAAATTTTTAAATACTTTTTTCTAAAAACCTAAACTAATATTTCTATTAAAACAATTTTAAAAGTGAGAAAGCAGTTATTATGATTTAAATTAAAATTGTACTTATATTTTCTTTTTAAAAAATGTGTGATAGAGTTGAATTAAGAAAAGCAAACATTGTCTAATTACATTTATTTATTATTATGTAATCTTTGTGGTGACTGCTATGCATTGGCAATAAAGTACATTTGATTGGACTTTGTATTTTTTTTGTACTTTTTTACTTATATTTTTCTAAAATAAAATTTTGAAAGAAAATTTGACGAAATATAGATTTTCCTTCATTACAACATTATTCAATCAAATAGAACGATCGGTAGTAAAAGGGAATTGATGGCTAATAATAGGTACATACGTATCATGGATCCTATGAATTCTTCAACAAGTTATTACTGCAAATTCTCTGTATATTTTTCTTTATTGAGCATTGTAAGCTAATTAAATTATTAAATATTTTCCTGCAGGCAGACCTCAGTGGACTTCCGTGCTATTTGCGCGATCGTGGGCTATTCAAATTACCTTTATATTTTTTTTTCGTTTTCCCACCCTGAAGGATATCTCACGCAATAGTTGCTATTTTGGAGAGTGGATGTTCATGGGTCTGAGTCTTCAAGGATAAAGTAAGAGACTAAGGATGAACTGGGTATGATAGACTGATGTGATTCTATGATAAACTAGCAATTCACCTTTTTCTGGGTAGATAGAGACCACTTTTATAATTTTTCTATCTGCCTGGAGGTTTCCTTTCGAAACTCAGCAACCGCAACATGGGGCAACAAATCCCGCTTGTAAATTTGTTTGTTTTTTTTTACTATAAGAATAGAATAGAACTTACTAATGATTCGTTTTAGCTGACAAACCTCTTTGTAGTTGCATGGTATCAACCTTTTAACATGGGTCGCATTAAGCTTCTTTGATATACTGCCCGTCACAAAACATAAAATGTGAAAAGACATCTAACAGAAATTTGGAGGATTAATAGAAAAATTGTGAAATCAGGGGTGGATTGTGAGTGGTTCGATGGTGGATGATAAATCAGAGCAACTCAGAATAATCGAATTCAGGTCAGATTGAAAAGCTTTTACCAGGGTATCGTAAAACTATTATCCTAATAATGACCAAAAATCAGTTATTAGGGTAAGTCAAAGGCTCATGGAGAAGGCCAGTAGTTGACGCGCGATTACGCGGTGCTCGTCTCTAATATTTCCAATTTCCCATTTTTAAATTCGAGATATTTGTAAAATGTTATTCTCTCTCTTAAAGGAGTGTCATAAAGCCATGAGACGCCTTGTGAATAAGGAAAAGCTCAAAAATGAGATAACACGAGGATTCGTAATAAAATCGTCACAAAAAACTTTGTGTTAAAAAAAATCATATGTTTCTCACCTCTTTATTCTTCTCTTATTTTAAACCATAGATATACAACAGTTTTCGTAAAAGATTTTCAAAAGTTAACATGCCAATTTATTCTTGAAAGATTACACAAACTTTACCGGAAACAAACCACACAACATCCCCCATCGTTCGAGCTGTAATATGTTAAACCACATCGATTTTACGAATAAATACGGTAAGTACGAATTCACTTTTAAGATATACTGACAACAGCTTCATCAAGTAACTTAACGAAACAAAAGGTTCGATATGGAAAAATGGCAGGACCGCAATATTTATAATCTCAGTATTCGATCGTTTTATAGGCACAAATGTCCCTAGAATTAAGCCCGAATGTCTTTTCCAGACATCTGTCATAAATTATTGGATCAAAGTCCAATAACAGCTTAACTTTAAAATGTGGATTATTTACAAGCAATATACGTAAACTTTATAAGGTTTTGGTTCATAGCTTTGATACTGAGTAGTCATGTTTTACTCTTGTCATTTCCAATTGTTGTACTTCTCAGAAAAACAGAAAAGTATAAATTTTGGTTGAGGTATGCGAGGTGATTGTAGTTTGGCTTCTGATCATCGCGGTCCGCCTATTTACACTGGTTTAGACAAGTAGCCATCTTCAGTGGTGGATTTGTGTGGCATTTGGGGGGGGGGGGAATACAAACCTGCCAGTAAAGAAGACGAAACGCGTCCGACAGACAAAAACTGCGAGAATAGGCAGATCAATATGGTAGGAAAACTAACTACAATACCTTTAAACATGCAATACCTTTAAAATCGTATCAAAACTAAAACAAAATAGTTTCTACCTTTTACAAATGATATATTGAGTTACTTTGTAGCCACAGCTTTGGAGGAGATAGGATATGAGGTAGATAAGAGAATCTCGCAGAACGCTGCCGAGTACAGAAAACGAGGAAAGGAGGATTACCTGCTCAACATGTTCAGAAAGAAGATGGCAAAGAAAATTAGCTCTCGGAAGAAGTGGAAGCAGCACGCGATGGACATACAGATTGCCAACCACGCGATGCGCATCAACCCGACCTCCTTCAGCGAGCGACCCGACACTTCTGAAGATCGTTCGAGGAAGCCTAGCGTGAGTAGTGTCTTATTTAAAAAAAAAAAAATCGGTTGAGATAGACCAAATATTACAGGTGCAGAAGAAGGTGCAGAAGAAGGGAAAGGCCACTGCCCAAAAGACGAGTATGAAGAAGAAGAAAAAAAGCAGACTGTAATTTTTTTTATATATGTTAGAATGTAAAATGATTAACTAAAACGTTCTCTGCGATTATCAGATTTTCCCGTGTTCCAACCGACCCAATCGTTTTGGAAAACGACTTCTTTCGAAACGTACGCAACTCTCTTGAGTATTTTGCAAGGAAAAAGAAAGAATTTCTTCTCAGCGTTTTGACTCTCTACAAGGAAATGGAAGGTAAAACGAAAAATTAATCAGAGTAGTAATTGATAGTGGTTTATTTTTGACCAACTAATAACTTGAGGTTTATTTTTGCCTAAAATTGAATTGACCTTTGCCGTTACAGCTTTGGACCTGAGTGACTTAAAATCGCTTTTGGAGATGAAGTTTATTGAAGTTACTTTCAAAAATTCTCTGCCCGAAGAAGAAAACGAGATAAAGTTTTCAGCGTTGAGAACTCAAGCCAATAACGAATCAGGAGACAAGGTGGATAATAAGCAGTTAGAGCAAGAAGAACCGAAGACAGCGTCTTTGACCCTGCCGAGAAGCAAGGACTCGGCCAGTTCTGTGTCTTCCAACAATTCCGAAAAGTCGAATAGGGTTTTCGAAGAGCCGGGTGAGAGCAGGGAGACCAAGGACGGCCAAGACCCTGGTGAAGTCAGCCAAGTGAGTTTCTACACGTACAACTACCCAGAAAATACCAACGTGCCACCGAATTCTGCGATGACGGTGACTCCTCTTCGCTCGGAAACCTCACACCTTTCCAACTTGGACTCCGAGACGGAAAAACGCATCGATCAAGCACTTTCCTCTCTTATCGCTAAGAAGACAGAGATCGTCAAAATGAAATCCAAGTTCAACATGTCAGAAGGCGTTCTCAAAAACGCCAATCACGCAAATTCAGCAGGCAACACGAAGATTCCGGATGTTGTGTTCAAAGTCGGATCTCGGACGACCGTCTATAGCGCAGCCCCTTCTATCTTCAAAAGGGGCCGGAAGAAAACTTTCGGTTAAAGGAAGATTTAGAAGAATCGTATCGTGTTTCGTACTTTAACATTAAACATGTCCGTTAAAATCGATTTTATTTTGCGTTTTGATATTTTAACACACTTTGTGTTTTTCCAAACAATGAGGGCATTACGGTAATGCCATTACGATGTATCTCTTACTATAATATTACTATTGAATTGTAGCTAGGTCATCACCTGTCATCGGGTTTTCAATGACTAAGCTGAAGGTTCATTGCTAAGCAGAGCTCAAGAAAATACCCCACAGATTTTAAGCATACTAGACATTTGAAAATATGGCAAAAAGAGGGAAAATTCGAAAGGCTGTAGGTTGAGATGAGGAGTTGGTGCCCGAGGGGAACGAAGTCACGTTAGCTCAGGTGGACAGGGCAGCGAATTATTTAGCCAAAGGTCGGGGGTTCAAATCCCGCTCTTGAACTAATTTTTCATCTCAACCAAAAAACTTAGATAAAAAGCATAATTAATTGGAATAATTAATATGGTCAATTATGACCACTAAACAAATATGGATTAATTGAAGCAAATTGTTAGTAGATGTGTTGGCACTTGGAGTTACTGTTCTTTCCCTGTACTATGTATCATATATAAAAAATACCAATGATGCAATAACTCCTGGAAAGTACTGCATTGGGCTGTACACACCCAAAAGCTGATAAATCAATTAACTTTGTCTGACATTTGATGAATCATCCTTTCGTAACTTTTGATTTCAGATGTGTGGATTATAACAGAAGTAAAAATCAAATCATATAGACACTTGTGTCTAAGGTTGTGGCAGGCATAGTCATCCATCCTACTTCACAACTGGTCAACATGGTATTCTTGAATATGAAAATAAAGTAAAGAGGGAAAATGTACCTCATTATTTAAAAGACTCTCCTGCTTAATTAAAATCTATTGCACCAGTGATTTATATTAAAAATTATTAATGTCAGACTGCACAATGCGATGTGTGATAGTGGACAAACAGTCTCTCCACTTATATCTACAGAAATGGGTTTTTAAATCTTAAATGTTTAATCATATCTTTTAATTGGACTCGGTTGGCATAAAATGGGAAAAATGGGACTACCATAAATTTTGTCTTAGCAAAAGGTTAAAGAACATATCAACAATATATCAATTGAATTAGCAAATTTAAATTTCAAACAGACTGTAAACTAATAAAAACAAAAATGTGCAACAATGAATTAAACCTAAACCCAAACCAACATAAAAGAAAGAAGTAGACTTACAAGCAAATAAGACAGTTTGAAAGAAACCAAGAAATCAAGCTATAAGAGATCATGCATATAACAAAAAAAAAAAAAAAAAGTGGAGAAGCACTATAATGAAATAGAAAAACATTATCTTTTTTACAAATACAGTCAAGAGATAAATAAAGCAAAGGTAGTAGAGGAAACCAACTGAATCATTTTAATCAACTGAAATTTTTTTAAATACAATATTTTATGTAAAGCAGTACAATATCACTTCAAAGATTTTTGGGATCACCACATTCAATTGATTAAGGAAGCCCTGGAAAATCAAAATTCAATGAATAAACTGGAAAAATGCTTCCTCAATGGGAAAACTTGGAACACTGCCTTAGAAGATGGAGAAAAAACTATTAAACAAGAAGGGAGTAACATTCTAGCAATTGCCTTTTCATTCTATGAGGAACTGTACGTTTGTGAGAAAAGAAATCAAAAAGGATGAATACATTTTTTTAATTTTAAAAATGAAAAATTTATCTAGTTGGGAAAACATATTTTAGTAACTTCTGTTTTCAGTTAACTGCACATCTTTAATAGGTAAAATAGATGTCATAATTTTTGGAACACTGATTCCATTAAATTTTGTATTCAATTTTTGGCACAATTTTGAACCAATATGATTACATATATGGGTAGTAATAGAATATTTATACTGATATAAAACTCACAACTAGACAGAATAATGCACTCTGCAAATGACATCCCTCACTTACAATTTTTTAATTACTCTATCAATATTTTTCTGAACCAACTTCACAATTCGCTAAACAAATCTTGACAATCTAGGCATATACATTTGTTGAATTTATGCAAAAATTTGTCTTTATCTTCTATTCATATGAATATTACAATAACACCATGCTATGTGTAAACATTTTAATATTGTTAGCTCTTTTTTTATGTGTAATTACTTATAATACATTTATATATTTTTGTAGAAGTATGATATCTATATATAAATAAATAAACATGCTTACTAACCTGATGACCAGCAGAGAGAGTGGAATTACACTTTGTAAATCCCTCCTGGGAAAAGAAAAAAAAGTTAAAATCAGAGATTGGTAGACAAGTACACCATCACCTTTACTTTTTACTTATTTTATAAATGGATATTCAACAGAAGTGTTAATTTTTTTTTTTTTACAAATCTTGCAATTCAACCTTAAAGTGATGAGAACAAAAAAGTGTAAAATATCCTTCTTCAAACTAAATTACCGTTGTTTTTTGAATTTCAGATACCCAATGGATATCCACTATTCATTATCATAAATTGATTGGATTTGGATTTATATAGGCTCAAATTTGCTTAGTGCAAAGTTAAACATATTCGCTTCTCGTACTCCACCGGCAACTTCAGATTTTGCTATTTACAGTAAATTGCTGGCAGACTCAAGAACCACCCACCTCAGGTGTTGGTAATCTGGGAGCAGAACTCTGTCTTATTTGTCCAGCCTCCGAGGCTAGGCTTGGGGGGGGCTGTCCCTCTGACACATGCAGTTCCAAAACCCATTCGTACTCCTATTCATTCTTAAATACATTCACTCCTAATTACATTCATTCAATTAGGGCAATGGGGTACACATTATTCCACCTCTAACATCACACATTCATGCTAATAAATACATTCACTCCTATTTACATTCATTCAATTAGGGCAATGGGGTACACATTATTCCACCTCTAACATCACACATTCATGCTAATAAATACATTCACTCACAACAAAAATATTATTACTATTTACAATAGAACACCCCCAATTCCTCCAAGAATTAGGATCAGGGGACTCCAAACACTTGCTCTTGTGCTCAAGCACGCACAATTTTCAATCAGGTGACTCTCAGTACCTTTCTCTGCATGCCGGACACATACATGGGCTTTGGCCCAAAAGTAGTGTCCGTGTGTCAACCTCAGATGGCCTATTCTTAATTGGCTAAGGATGAGTCAGATCCTCCCGAGAGCCACCCATCTACAGTGGACTTGATACGCAAGAACTTCTCAGTCAATCCGGCCGCCAAATTGACTGGACAACATAAATCAGTAAATATTCTCGAGTAATCTATCATGTTTAACATTTCTTCAATAAATGATTAGGGTTCTACTTGAGAGTTTAAATGAAATTAACTCTTAAAGTAAATTAACATCTTTACCATCTGAGCCGATTTGAAGAAACATTAGTTGAAAGGCTTCTGATATGTAACCAAAATAAATCAATATCCGAATAATATAATAATTCAAAACTGATCAATTGACTATTTGCAATGCAATTCATTAAAAAAATTCAGACCAAGACTTTTTTAAACTAATAATTGTAAAAAATGAAAAATATCTCTTTCAAGGAAGAAAATTCGTGACGTTATCGCATGGCCTCCCAGGTGAAAAAGGGCGAATGGCGGGAATATTATTTCCCACGTACTGATTATTAATCCTACAATTCTATCACAGCTGGATTTAAAAAACGTTGGAAAATGTTGAAAAATAATATAAACCAAATAATGTTTTTTTTTAATTAGGTCCAATTGTTTTAAAAATTTAAGAATAATATAGTACTTTCGGGAGACTGTCATGCTGGCAGTGATCTGATATATTGTCGATTTCCCTGTGTAGAATTTCAATAATTAATTTCATTTTAACTAATTAATTTTTAAATATTCGTTAATTTTTGTTATTTTTTGGTAAGGATATTGAGGAATGTAATAGGTTTGGCTCCACGAAGGTGGAGGCCTCATTGGCTTGTTTCCCGCCGTTTACGTGTTCACAAATGGGCAAAAAGTGTTCGATTGGGTTCAAATTCAAATCTGGACTTCGAGCTGGTTATACCAAGCATTCAACTCCAGCCTCATACAGGTTAGTCATCCACAATTCATGCTCTATTAAGTCTGGCGTTAGCCTCAGTAAGAATAGCTCACGGATGTGGGAGGCAAATGGCACTACATGTTCTTCAATTATGCCTTGTAAGTACTTATGTGAAGTTAGAGATCTTCCAAGCACAACAACCAATGCGGTGCGTGACGTCCAAGAAAATCCACTCCAAAACGTCAATGACCCACCGTGGAATGCCACCTGAGGAACCATGCAGCAAGATTTGAGGCAACTCTCACCTCCAAGTTATGGAATATGGCTAATATGCATAGTTCATAACGCCAAAAAAAAAAAAAAAAAAGAAAGTTATGGAATAACCAAATGCCCCTCAGACCAACACGTCACCAAAGTCTAGCGGGTTCAGACGCCCGCCCATCATCTTAATCAGCATTTCTTTAAATTAGTACAAAAACCCTAATCCCCAAATATCCTCGCCTTACTTGTGCAACAGCCTTCTCCCTCGTCACTCTGTCGGTTTAAATTTACATTTTGTATAGTTCTGACAATGAAGTTTCTTTTATTAAAACGTCTTCTTCGTGTGATTACTTACCTTCCATTAAGAGAAATCGACCCCAATCTTCCGAAATCACATGTTCCCGTACAAAAATCTGGCCATTTTTTGAGCTGTGGTAAGAAGAGGCCCATGGGCATGCCAGACCCTGAGAATTACTGTCTTCTTACAGTCCTGGATGAAATCAAAACATTTGGGACTTGTCTTATCAGATTTCTTATCTCATTTCTCGTAATGCTGCGGTTCCATAGAGTCTGATGATGGATGAATCTATCATCTTTCTCATCTTTAGATATAGGTCAACCCTGACCTGACATAATGGGAAGCCCTGTGTCTCTGAAGCGCCAAAGAATCATTCCTATTGTAGAGTGATTTACACTCGGTCTCCTGGCGACTTCACGCTTGCTGTACCCTTCCTCTAATAATGTTATGACCCTGGCACTGTCATACTCATTCCAATGCCTGACTGGAGCCATCGAAAATTTTATAAGAATAAGAATAATATCAAATGAATCAATAAAGAAAAAATATTAGCTTAAAGCAATCTCTGGACATAGTAGAATGGAAGGGTACAATGCTAACTTTTGTGCAAATGGGATTAATCAGTACAAAAATAAACAAAGCATTAGTTACTATTTATTTTGATTGCAATAGCTTCTAATTACCTGTAACTAATGTAAAATAATCTATCTAATTTTCAATGAAATAAATTGAGTAGTGCGTTAAATTTGTACATAACAATCCATAATCCGCCGGAAGTTGAAGCGTATAGTTCAATCCATAGAGCCCGATGATATTGGTGGTTGAGTCCAGACCAGCTTGAGCTACTTCATAAAGAGTCCTGATAATGCAGCAGCAGTGGGTGCTGTAAAGAAATGGTTTAACCAGCTTGAGAAGTTTGAGCCTGTTGGGGGACGATGGAAGACAACACTGGAGAAGGAGTTTCCTCAGTGTCATAATGTTGCCATTGTCTTGGAGAGCTTATGGAAAGGTGGAAGGAAGCAGATGAGACAGTGATTGTTTTCATACAAAATTATATCTTTGGAAGGCCCGAATGCGGTCTCTTGCTTAATAATGTTATGACCCTGGCACTGTCATACTTATTCCAACTAACGCTTCCTGAGTAGTTAAGGGAAAGGAAATGTATGAAGGCCCTTTACAATGGATTGGCAGGATCGGAGTCTTACAAGTCAATCGCTGTCCATGGGCGGTTTGGGAAAGCAGAACAGCCAAGGGTTTGGATTTTGTAAATGTTGGTTCTATTCATGGATTTGCTGTTTACAATTATCTGAATTGCAAGCATTAAACACTCATCAGGCTGAAGCAGTTGCAAACACTTCTCTCAGCATGGATTGTAAGAATGAACCCGCCCATCATCATTTTTACAATTCATTTCGAGAGACATGTTTGTAACTCCTTCAAACTGGTGATGGGCATTTCATGCTTGAAATCCGCTTAGTTGTAAACAACAAATCTGTGAGTAGAACCATCATTACAAAAAGTGAACTTACCTACATACTCATCCGGGGACTGCTGTAGCTGAGTGAATAGCGTGAATAAGACTCAGCTTGTAGACCCCGCAGTAGTGGGTTCGATTCCCACCATCGCCTTTTTTCATGATACCCTCCCGCAATACGCATAGCATAAAGCCTCATTACATTAAGCTTGAGTAAACTGTGCCCAAGTTTTAATTGCCACATTTGGTAATCATTGCAGCTGGGAATGCCCAGGCAAGGTCAGTGTATTTGCTATGGTCAATCTGAACACACTTGCAGATTGTAAAAGGTCAGTCAACACTAGTCAACGAACATCAGCATAGTGGGGCAATAAAAGTGAACCTTATTGATCTAAAGTGAATAATATTTTTGCACAGACAGGTGGGCTAACAAGAGACGAACAAATAATTGCCTATGTTGATGTAGATCTGACAACACATGGTGTCTGAAACATAATGCCACACCACTTTTGCTCAAAATCAACAATAGGCAGAACAAAATTTTTAATGTTAACTTCCAATACATAGTCAAATCTGCCATTTTTAACAGGTCATATTTCAACTCTTTTAATTTAAAATGGTATCTCTCATTTATCTCAAGTTTATGGTTAGCCATTTATTTATTAGTGGCTCGGTTTTTGTCTTTGAATGTATAAATTCTTTAGTGAAGTATTTTCTTCTTTAAAAACATGAAACAAATTTATAGTACAACAAAATTTACGCACCATGTAAATACCATCACAAAATATTCTTAAACTTACCATTAATTAATAATTTTCTTTTTATTAATTACATTCTAGAATATTTTCTTATGACATACTTGAATTTTAATTTTGGTGTAAGGTAAATATCTTACAACAAAATCTTACAACTTCTAGGTAAACCATCACAGCATGGTTGTGTCATAGAATGGTGAATATCTGTGAGCATAGCTTGAATGTGGAAATGAAAATACCTTGGCCTTGGATTGTTGATAAACTGTTTAACAGTTGATAAACGCATTGCAGGCATAGTGAGGCATTAAACACAACTCAAGGAAACTGTTCAGTAAATTAACAAAATAGAAAATGGATCCATATTTTGTAGGAAAGCGAATTCTTGTTACAGGAGCAGGCCAAGGTAATGTGTTATTAGTTAAATAGTCGATTACTGGTTGACTGAATTTAAAGGATAAAATATATCTTGTTAATAGTTAAGTAGTAATAGTGTAGTAAAATCTTACTATTATTCGTTATTCTTGAACTGATTTCATTTTTTATTTAATTGTTTAGGAATAGGAAGAGAAATTGCAAAGACATTAGCATCTCAAGGAGCGAATGTTACAGCTATTTCTAAATCAGAAGGACCTCTTAATTCGCTAAAACAAGAGGAACCCAGAATTAACGTTAAGCAATTAGACGTTACAGCTGACAATGTAAGAGATGTTTTAGAAAAACTTGGGCCGTTTGACTGTTTAGTCAACAACGCTGGTGTTGCGATTCTTGAGCCTTTTCTTCAAGCTACAGAAGACAGTTTTGACAAGTACTACAAAAATTAAACCTCAAAAAAATATTTTGATTCTTTTAAGAGTATTTGCAGTTAACTTGAAAGCAGTTTTTACCATAAGCCAGTTGGTCGTGCGGCAGATGGTCAAAAACAATATCAAAGGGAGTATTGTTAACATTTCTTCTCAAGCATCTAAGGTTTTTATTATTAAGTAGTTTTGAGGTATAATAGAACAATTATGAAGCTGTCTTTCCAGTCGGCCTTGAGAGATCATGCAATTTACTGCAGTTCAAAAGGAGGTTTGGATATGCTGAGCAAAGTGATGGCTCTTGAGCTGGGGGAGTATGGAATAAGGGTCAACTGTGTCAACCCGACCGTCGTACTAACAGCCATGGGGAAGCTTGGCTGGGAAGACCCTTCAAAAGGAAATCCATTGAAGGCAAGAATTCCACTTCAAAGATTTGCAGGTACTAAATATCAAATTAAGTTCTATTTTAAGTTTTTAAGATAATATTTCTACAGAAACGTATGAAGTGGTCAACGCTGTTTTGTTTTTATTGAGTGATAAATCTTCTATGGTGAATGGAACTACTTTGCCTGTCGATGGTGGTTATTTGGCAACTTAACCGATTTCAATAAAGGGATTTCTTTGTAAGAACTGATTTTTTGTTATTTTTATTATATTATATTACATTTTTATTTACCTACTACATCATGATCCTTTAACTATACAATTAAAAATAAATGGTAAGTTACAAACATCCAGGGAAGATAGTATAACCATAATGTATTTGAACTAGAATGTCTGATTTTCATCCTTTTGCCAATCAGCAAAACAACAATTCATCTTTTTGTGTTGTTATTTATTAACCTAAGAAGAAGAAATATATCTTTATTCTGGGACAGTGTCCCATCAAAATAATACAGTGGTTTAAGAGGATGGAAGTTCCACAAATCATAAAGTGCAAAATAGAACAGAGTGAAAACAGCATAAAACAAATAACTTTTTGGCGGGAGAAATATGATGAAAATCAATGGTTACATATCAATTAAACTGACAGTAAAAAAAAAATTAAAATTTTTATAAAAAATTAAGAAAACGTGTTTGAAGGGAGAGGAGGTGATTATATAGGGGGGATGGGAAGGAATTAAGAGAGGTGGCTTGACAAATGAGGTTCCAGAGTTTGGGGATCTTTCAAAGGAATGGGTTTTGAGTTGGGGGAGAATAAGGTCACTGGGGGCGATCGGGTTTTGTAGGAGTGGTGAGAGGATTTGAATTAGAGAGATTGTACGATGTTCTGAGGACGACAGGTATGAAAACATTGAAAAAGGAAGGATCCTAGGAAATATTGAGATCTGAAGGAAGGGGAGAACTGGGAAAGATCAGAATAAACGAGACACCCGGAACCCCTGGGGGGGGGGGTGCCGAGCACGAATCTGACACAACAGTTCATGATGCACTTCAGGCACCGCTCAGCCCCTCCGACTTTCCTAGTGATTTTTTTTTTTTTTAATTAATATTTTTAAGAGGGTATTAACTATGAGGTTATATATTATGAACCTTGGGGTTCTGATCTTAAAAAAATTGTATGTCTGGTTCAAATCCTTCAGCCCTGCATTAGAGCCCAGGACTTTTATCTTGCAATGACAAGTGTCATGTCAACACCTTAACTGTTGCAGCCACCGACAACTCCAGGGAGTGTTTTCTAAAACATTTACCTTTAAATATAGGCATTTTAAATATCAACATATAACTGTATTTAAATATAACAAAATAAATAAATATAAATTGTCAGTATTTTATTTGCTCTGTAAAACTGTACATCTGATGAAATAAGACCTTCGGTTGTAAAAAGACAATACATTGTATGACACTAATGTCTTCCGCGATAAACAGTGCACTTTGGCAGTAATGATTTCATTGATTTAACAATTGACTCATTTTTATTTTTGTCACCACTTCCAGTTTGTGCGTTTTCTTCTTCTATTTTGTATTCGTTATCGAATATCTGTCTTTTTACTGGGATGCTCTTATTGAACAGAGGTTTCAGTTTCAGAGCCCTTTGTTGTGCCAAGTTTTTATATTCCTTATTTGTTTGCTGTTCGAAGCTTTTGTCCATGTACTCTACAAAACTGATGGGTTGTGCGTAGTGAGAGTTAAGTTGAATTTTTTCAGTAGGCCCATCATTGTTGAGTGTAAGATTACTCTTTAGTTTGTTTATACGATAATCAGCATTGGGACACCTTTCACTGCTACAGCTCGGGTTGCTATCACTGAAATTTCCAGGGAAGATATTTTTTGGGTGATTTTCTTGTTTCATCATACTGTTCAATAGTCCCTGTTTCTTAAGTAGTTTCACAGTACGAATAAATTCTTCATACCCACTTTTTCGTACTGACGTTTGAATTTGATCAGGCACAGGCTCAGATTCTATCTGGGATTTGTGTACAAGTTTTTCTGACGGTTCAGAACTTTCTTTAGAAATACATTCTTCAGTTTCCTTTATCACAGATGTCTCTTCTTTCTGCACTGGAAATTCTTCGGTTTTTGTTTTCTTGATCGATTCGTCTTTCTTTGGTGATTTTATTTCACTACAGGTCCTTTTTGATTTCTCGGCAACCAGTTGTTCAGTATCAATACCTAAAAGTTAGAAATAATTTTACAATCTTCTTTCAAATTTATTATCAATAGGAATCATCATTATTTTTAAAATCTCAGCTCTGAGACTCATCTCTTCTTTCAAGTTTCATTGAACAGATTTACCAAACAAGTGTAGAACATAACAGTGAAAAGATAATATTTAAACATCAACAACATAAACAAAACGTCGCGGTAAAAGACACCCTTTTGCATTTATATTTAATTTACAAAATTCAGTGGGCAGAGTTTATCAGTATTATAAATAAAGGGATGTCTTTTGAATATTTGTGTATTATTTAAATAGCGATTGTTTTAAACTTTAAATTTGATTGGATGTATGATCAATTTGATAAACAAATACTGCTATTCATAAAGCTTACAATATAAAATAAAATCATAACAATGTAAACTAAACATACAACATTCTGTGGTTTTATTCTTGGACTTAGATTGTACATGCACAGCCATTATTGGAATATAATTATAACACGTGAACAAAGGTCAAGTTTTTAAATTACACGTAGCAACAGATTGCCCCATACAGTTTGCCATGCATTGACATTTGGTGATCTTTGTTTCTTCTTCAATAGTAATATTTGAATCAGATTCCAGAATAAAAGGTCTCTGCGCTTCTCTTATTATCTCTTGAACTGTCCGGACAGGAGGTTTGCCATAGGGACGTTTTGATGTAAATAATAGTTTTTGACCAGGTGAAAAATCTAACTTTTTTCTTCTTTGTTCTATCACCTCTTTTGATATCGGTTTCGGTTCAAATATTTTACAATACTCAAACGGTGCTTGTTCACTTTCATTGGTTGTTTTTGTTTCATGTGGTACTTTTACTTCTGCTCTGGTAGTGGCGGTGGAAACAAAATTATTTATATTTTTGTCTATAGTTTTATTTAATGAGGCACTGGCAGCGTCTTGAACACTATGCAAAAGTTTCAACGTCGGTAGGTGGATTTGTTCAGGACAAGAGATATCGTCATTTTTTATCCTTTCTCCATCCGGATTACTTTGTTTTGTAAGTAGGACTGGTTTAGAAGTTTTGGCAGGGTATTTATCACTTGTTACTGCTCTAGAAGCAGGCTCAGATGCAAAAGCGGTTTCATATTCACTGGAACCTGCACCTGAATCCGAAGAACCAGTTGATGTACTAGTGACAGAATCGAGTTTGCTACTTGTCGAACCGTCTTTGGTCTTTTTCGATGTCTTCTTTTTCCTTTTTACAGCCTTTTGTTTTTTTGTTGGACTACCTATTTTTGATTTAGGCACGCTCAGCTTTAATTGTTCACTTTTCAAATCTAAAATTGAAACAGGGTTTTAACGTCAATTTTTGTTTTTAATACAAAAACAATTGTTTCTTTTGAATTTCAACAAACAAAAACAATTCAATTCCTTAATAGTCTGCCTCTTGTCAAGATGACCCAAATGGATACAAATAAACTCACTTTTCTATTCTTGTTTTTAATTTGAAATGTGAGTCTTAGAAATAAATCTAAATTTCTGAAATTTTACATCTTCATTACAAGTAAAATTACACTTTCTTCTTCTTTTATTCTGACGATCCCTCAAAAATATTCCCTCTCAAACATAAGCGGTTCCGTTTCATTTATTACAGATTCTTCACCGCGGTTTCATCCGTTTAGGACCTAAACTTATATTTAAGCAGGATATGCTTTTAAGGTAGGTTCTCTATATTCAAATTAAATTACATTTTCATCATGTACAAAAATGTAATCCTTCAAATATTTAGTACTATAAAAAGTACTATAAAAAGAAAAATAAAGACAATGAGTCTGAAACAGATCAGAACAAATTCAACATTTAAATATGAAGAAATATATAACTAAGAACAGAAATCTAATCTAGGGGAACTTGATTAAAATTTAAACAAAAAGAAAGCATTGTTCATTTTGTTTAAGAATTAAAATTCAACTTGAAAAGAGGCCACAACAGCATTTTGTGAAGTATTGAATTAAAAAAAAGAAAAAAATAGAAAATGTTGAAATTCTAAAGAATAATTGATCAACGATAACTGATTCACTTACTTGACAAATGTTGCTGAAGTAATCTAAGAGAAGCCATAAACTGGGACTTCCTTCTGTTGAATTCTTCCAAAGCTTTGTCCATCTGAACAGAAGGTTTACTTTTCTTTGCGCCTGATTTCTTCAATTTCTCTTTAATGCCTCCTGCTTTATTACCTTCTTGTCCACTTTTAACATCAGCACCCCTAAAAAACCACATTGAAAAATATTAACAGCTATGGAAGTCACATGGAAGTTTGAATACGTGCTTCAATAGTTTTTCGGGCCTTTTCTTCGTCTCTTTTCTTGTTTCTTTGCCGTTTACACTTGATGACAGTGCCTTAAGAAAATGAGAAGTTTTTCTTTTCTGAAAACAAATTGATATGGAATGAGGAGTAAGTTGGACTTCACTTGGCATCTAAGTTTTTTTTATATATCTCGTGAAACAAGTTGCAAAAGTGATTGTTATTGCAAAAGAAACAGCAGTAAGAACGTCTTCAGCCTGTTCCATTTCAAAAGATTGAGATCTTTTAAATCTCATACAAGTCATAAAGGAAAATTATTACAATCTAAATGTTACATATAAATCAAAACATTTTATTTGTTACTTCATCTTCCATGATCATCATATGATCTGGCTTTGAAAATTGTTTTTGGGGTGAGGGATTATGGTTTTTTTAATTCAAATATTAAATTATTTAATAATTATTGCTTATAGCAACAATTTTATATTTGAAGAAGAATCTTTCTTACCGCTGTTTTTTGTTTCGCTCTGGTAACTGCCGTCACAACCCGTTTGGGCACAACCGGCGGCTCAGGAATTTGCAGTTTCCTTTTGATCAAGACAATTTTCTTCTTCTTCTTCTTTCTTGGCCGCTTGCTTTTGTAGACTTTCTTCTGCGGTGTGTAGCTGCTTTCCGTCGAGGTGTCATCTTTTGAATAGTTCTTAGCGATTCCGGCTGTAATCTTATCAAGATCCGGAACTGGAAAAGGTTTACAATAATTACTTGCAAAAAAACCATTGTATAGTCAATTGTCCAAGTTACAAGAAAAAGCAACAGAAGATAATACATTTTTCAGTAGTAAACCATTCAAAAATGGTTCTACTACCTAATAATGAGTGATTGTGATATTAGAATTAAACTTCTCAATGCAAGCTGTTGAGACCTTGGTGCTGACCTTGGTCCATTATGCAGATAGGTCATTTTAGCACACTTTTTTTTAAAAAATTTATTGGACATTACAACTATAGCAACTACAAGCAAACGCAAATTGGCAAAATATAATGACTTGTATATTCTTGAAGAAGTCACTCAGTAGTGACACTGTTGTATCTCAGAATAAGATCACATGGCCACTGGTGTTTCAGTCTGTTTTATTAGGAAAGGACTGTTAGGAAAGGAGGCTGAGGATAGCTGGGTTAAGTTTTAATTGGTATTACCAGTAAGGGATATGTAGATCATGGTGAAGGGTAAAACTTAACATAGAAAGGTCAAAAGAACGTTTTGGCATGAAAGGAATGAATTCTATAGGAGTATGCTTTGGCAGAGCCCAATATTTCCATATTAAGTCTATGTTGGCTTGAGTAGTTTGTAGTATTTTGATAATGAGGCTATTGATTGTCTAAGAGTAAAGAGAGGTTTGTCTATTAAGTTATTTTTGTTTCAGCCTTGCATGAAGATTCCACATGAGACGCTTATTGCTGTACAGTCCTATATAGCGAACAGTCATGGGTAGAGGAATACAGGATGAAGGATTGCTCACAACAGTTTGAAGGTAATGCATAAGCATTTATTTCTGTTTTTATCCTTTATTTTTAGCCTTCTTTAGGGCTTAAAGTTTAAGCATTACAGTGGGACTGTATGGAATGAAGTAGTGTCTGCTAATGTGAACAGGGATGATTAGGGATATCAACAATATATTAATTAAAGGGTAGAACCAATCTACCTTGAGAAACGCCTGTCCGGGCAGGATGAATGGGTAGGTGGGAAGAGCCATATAGTACTTAAAGAGTCGGGAAGCTGGGATTTTAAGGTGAGGTTTGAGTTTACAGGATCCCAGCATCCGATAGAATGGTTTGCAACATCGAGAAAGCATCTGAGCAGTAATGCTTCTATTAAAAGAAGGAATAGTTGATGTGTGAAACCTAAATATTCACATTCATTTTTGTTCCCACTGTTCACCCAATAGGGTAAAGGAGTTAAGGTTATATGCATCAGCCTTATTATAATATATATTCCAAATTGTATTATATCTTGACAATAAGTACGTTTAAGACAGTTATGTACAATAGAAGGTCCAATTTTCTTTTGAAATAGAGGATCAAGCAACTTGCTGCTGTGCTTAAGTAAGGGTCTCTTATTGTGTCATAACATTACTTGCTATCTATAAAGATCCAATGCTTAATTTACTCGTGTGATCGATTTTAAACAACAGTTTCGACGGAATGAACGAAATTTCTAAGAAATTTAATCTAACATGCAAAAGTCTAGATTTGAAAGATTTATTTTATTTGTATGTACGCGTGATCGGCTATTTAGGTAATCAAAACTAACATTTCTGAGGTCGATACTAGGCAACAGTTGAGCACACGACGATACATAAGAAATATCCAATTATTGAAATACTCACGGTATTTACTTGCTAAGTCCATTATATTTAACATTTTTGCTGCTTCGGTTTGTTTAAAGTCTCCTCAAAAAGTGTTTGTTTGTATGCTTGTTTTCTTGCATAGTTTGTTGTAAATTCACTAAAGTGTTGTATGAATTTACATGTGTTTTGAATTACTGTTTCTAGAGACACATGTCGGTTAAATCTCTTGACAGACGGTCAAGATTAATTCCTTTTTGAATATAGCAAAAGGACGAAATTTTTTCGAATGGATGTTTAAAAACCAACGTACATCTAAATTGTTCTGCATACGAGCCGATGTAATGCGAACGAAAAACACCAAAAAACTGCATAACATACTTATATATTTTATTGCATTTCATCATATTTCGGGAATGATATTCTTCCGGTAACCTCCATTTTAGAACTATGGAAAATATCTGAAATTGCTTTATCCCACAAATATAATAAAAACACTACTTTAAATTGAATGATAGCCAAGTAATAATTACTGATTGACTAGCGAACGTTAAATATATATAAATTATTCTTTGTGCAAACGGGGTAAATGAAGAAGCAGCGAAAGGTCATGATAGTATGGAAACTTTAGTAACTGGGAGATTTTTGATGGCCCTCACAAAGGCCGGTGTTTAGAAGTGTAGAGACGATGGATGAGGCCGGGACCGTGTATGCCGTTGGTAGAGGACTGTGACCGAGAGAGCCGTTGGCTGAGGTCCGGGGACGAGTAAGCCGTGAGTCGGTTGATTCTGCAGTGGTTGGAGAGACTCTCGTGCAGCAAGTAGCCGAGTGCAGCAGTTGGCCTGTAGCCAAGTCAGCTGTGTTGAGAAGGCGAGTTCGAGGCTAATGCTGCGAGTACCCTTGCTGTTGTCGCAGTGGTTCAATTCGAGATCTTACTTTTTAAAAAATGTTTATTTAAAAAGTAGTAGCTCCCCAATATACATTCGAGGAAGCGTACACAGAATCTAATCTATTTACCCTCGGTCAATCATTAAGTCACCTCGGGTTAAGGGGGAGAAAAATGCAATTGTGCTTAATCGACATCTGATAAGCCCAGTGCATTTTTCTGTAAAAGTAAAGCTATAACTAATATCGAATGATATAATATATATAACTTATATATAACTTATATATAACTCCTCCACCCTTAGAATAATGCTTCCCCTGGGGGGTCGTCTTTTACTACCTGTACTGTTTATTTTTATTTACAATTTTAGTTTTTATGCATTTAATTATAAATATTATTGTTATAATAATGATTAAAATAAAAGGAATAATGTCCATAGGCTTAGATTAACATGTATAGGTACATATGGTATAACATTATTTTTTGTCACAAAGTTTGGAAAAATATCATGAAGAGTAAAATGACGAAGCTTGATGCTGAAGTTGGAGATCTGGGTTGGTTCAACTGTGAGTGCTTGGTTTTCCATGGCTCGTTGTCCGATAGACGAGTGGGTGTCCTTTGTATATGATTTCGCTGTTGCCTGGTTTCAGCAGAAATATACCTTCCAGGATTTTTGTTTCTATCGCGTTGTCTTGTGTGATCTGGATTTTCTCTGGCGTGATGAAGGTGCATAAAAATTGGTTGACTTCTGGGATGAATACCACATGGTTGTTGCTTATCTGAAGCTCCGTGTAGACGCATTGTGTATTGTTTCCGTGTAAGATGATTTCCTTTTCGCAATGATTTTGTTATTTGATATTAGAATTTGCGGACAATGGTAAACTTTGTTTTTAATACATTCGTCTGTTAAATATGTTAGCTCATTATTTTTGGTATTAAGAACATATTTATTGTCTGGAATAGTTGTAGCTATTTTTTGGCCAACTTTTGTTGGGATAGGTTGTAATTTATATAATTCAAATTTATCCTTACTACATAATGGTAATCATAAAAAGTAGATTATTTGATTTGTTTCTATTCTACAGTCGACTTTTAACATATTTTCAAAGTCTATGATATTCTCATATTTCACTTCTAAGGGCAACTGAGTGTATAATCAATCGGTTCTCCAATCTTTTTAATTCCGAAAATAATTGACGGGTGTTTATAATGCTTGGATGCATTGTCTTTAGTTTGCAAAATGTTATTGTTTGTTTGTTACGTACACATTTTCGGGGATAACTGATATTTCTTCTCTATCCTCGTTAAGTTTTTCTATAATTTTTTCTTTATATTTTAAACTGCTTTAATTAATTATTCTATATATAATCTCTACTTTATCTTTATGTTTGTTAATGTAATCGTTTAACAATTGTGACTCTAAATTTATTGGTAATAGGGATTCTTGCTTTATATGACCTGTAATTATTTCGATTGGCTTCAGTTTTGTAACTGAGTGGATAGTGTTGTTGTACGCTAATATCGCGTAATTTACTTTATTTTTTATTGTTTCTTTTTGATAATGTTCTTCATTGTTTAAGAGTCGAATATGTTCAATTAGTGTAGAGTGAAAGCATTCTATTACTCCGTTTGAATCAGGGTGTTGGGAAGATATGAAATGTACATTAATTTTGTATAACTTTAAGAGTTCTATAACGAGAGCATTGTTAAATTCTACTCCGTTGTCTAGTACTATTTGTTCTGGTGTATTATGCCTACTGAAATGTTTAATCAGTTTGTTCACTACTTCGATCGCTTGCCCAGAATTAAGTTTATAGGCTTGTGCAAATCTTGAAAATGTATCTATTACCGTAAGCAATTTTGTGTTATCTAGTGTTATGGTGTCAATATGTACTATTTCGAACGGTTTTGTTGGTGTGGGGGTAATATTGAATTTTAATTTGGGGGGCCTTCGGTCATATTTTACTAATAGGCAATTTTCGCATTGATTGATAAAAGTTTGTACGGATTTTCTTTGGTTGGATACTGCATCTTTTAATTGCAGTATCAGTTTCATCGATTCCCCGATGATTTGTTTTAACTACATGGTAATTTTCAATTATTTCTTTTTCCTCCTCTTTCGACTCATCTTTGCCAACTTTGAGTTGTTTGTGTTGACATCGGTGTGGGTTTTGTGTTTTGTGTGTTGGTTATTGGCATTCTAGGTGCAAATTTTCCTTGGGGGTTAAAGGGTCTTTGTGTTATATTCACAGGTCCAGTTGGGAAATTTGTGTTAAAAAATTTCCTGAGTTGAGGATTCTGAAATATTTTTAAAGGTTTTAAATGTGATGATTGTGTGTGTGGTTCATAATTCATGTATTGGAAGTCATTAACCAGCAATCTTTCAATTTGTAACAGAGTTTTCGGGTTCCTGGTCGCTAAGTTGTTTCGTAAAGGATCTTTCAGCGAACTTATGAAATTGTGGCATATTACTAATTCTTGAAACTGAATTAGGTAACTTTTGTTGGCTTCCGTGCCTTCTAAAATATTTATTTTCGAACGGAACAGATCGAATTTTTCTTGAATTTCCGCGAGTGAAGTTAATGCGTTTTTGTTCGTATTGTGCCTCAAAATTTCTATGATTAAACTCGCCGGATCTTGAATATCTGAAAAGTTATTTATCAAGTGTGCTTTCAATTGTTCCCAAGTAGTGAACTGAATATTTCTCATAGACTCATTAGCTTTGTCTGTCAATTTGTTCCTTATGTGTAGGAACACTAATTGTCGCTGTAAAGTAGAAACATTTTGTACATTGCTCAGTTAAGTGTTTATTTCTTCCACTTTTATAATAAATTGGGTCAAAGTTTTAGGATTACCGTTATAAGTTGGTATAGCATCTAGTATTAGTTTCAAATCTGACGAATTTGCCATTTTTAAAATTTTATAATTACAACTTTTATTTTCTTAAAATTATAATTTTAATTGAAGTTATTGTGTGAGTTTTTATTAATATATTATTACAATTATTATAATATTTTGTTATAAATTGATATTTACTCACAGTATGACTACAAAGTGTACCATGTCCAATTCTAGATCTTCTTTCTTCCTTAGACTGAAGTACAAGTAGGTTGATGAAGTTCGAGACGGCAAATTAACCGTTGATACATTTGGTTTCAATATTCTCTTGAAGACCTTTGCCGTTCTACCGACTGCGCCAATTATGGATAATAATTCGAGATCTTACTTTTTAAAAAATGTTTATTTAAAAAGTAGTAGCTCCCTGATATACATTCGAGGAAGCGTACATAGAATCTAATCTATTTACCCTCGGTCAATCATTGTCACCTCGGGTTAAGGGGGAGAAAAATGCAATTGTGCTAAATCGACATCTGATAAGCCGAGTGCATTTTTCTGTACAAGTAAAGCTATAACTAATATCGAATGATATAATATTATAATATATATAACTTATATATATATATATATATATATATATATATAAATGATTGGTTTATTATTATTTCTATTGCACATTTATTGTTATTTACTATTTAGACTATGTGATTTGGTAATGGAACGTGTAACCCTTGTTAGTACTCTGATTATGTTTATTTATTTGGGGATTGAAATGGTTTTAATTGGGAAACGTGTGCTCTTTTAATGTCATTGGGGTTTTCTAAATTTTGGAGAAGGTAAGACACATTTGAGAGTTTTTCTATGATTCTGTAGGGTCCGTTATCCTTGTATGCTAGCTTTGCTGCGAATTGTTTGGAGGCGTCAGATAGATTGTAAGCGCGTAAGAAAACTAAATCTCCTATGTCCAAATCGATTATTGTATGGCGTTTATAATAATATGTTTTTGTTTGGGCTTTTGCTTTGTGGATATTTTTTAATGCTATTTTCCACATTTCTTTTGTTGTTGATAAGTTGTCGTCGTATTTAACATCCCATTTAATGGTGTGTTTAAGCTTCTTCCCAAAAATATTTGCGCCGGTGTGAATTGTGTCGATGTATTGTGGGCTATATTTAGTGCGATTTGTAGATAATTTAGGTTTTCTGACCAATTCTTTTTTTTTTCCATTTTATCTGTTTTTATAAATTCCATAAAGTCCATATAAAGTCCATTTTATAAATTCCATCCGAATTTATACAAACAATTATTAATTGTTTCGTTTTGATAAACCGTTTATAGCCTTTAATTTATACTTGCTAAAACTAAGAGTTTTACAAATATTATGTTAAATATTGATAGAATACGAACATGTTTTTATTTTATATCCTAAAGTAATATCAAAATAGGTGATAAGCAAGCATGAAATCAAAACAAATACGAATTAAAGTGTAATAATATTTACTTTCGTATCTGACTTTTCCTCTCCTAATCCGATCTCCATTGTATTTTTTATTTTATCTTATTTATAATTTTATAAATATGACTTATTAAATTAACCACCTTTATTACTCGTCATAATTTGTAGTATTGCATTCATATTCTCCTCCTATTTTTCAAACCGTGTTGGAACGGACTTGCCCAGAGTTTAAAAATGCATTTAAAACGAATGCAAACTTCCAGTCAAATTACCATCTTAAAATAAAGAACGAGAAACAAAAACAATGAATTCTTCTAAATAAATTAATGCAATGTATCTTATGATCTAATATATTATCTGGATGCTATTTAGCTATGTATATCCAAGTTACAGTGTATTATTTTTGTTAACGTTTTGTTTTAATTTATTAGCTTGGTTAAGTAAAATAAGAAACAACCACTATCTCTCTTCGTGTGAAAGCCCCCTCACTACGACAAAGTGGAGATAGGTCGAGGAGAAAATTTGAAATAATTTTCGATGTAATAATTTCTTTTTCTTCACATTTGTACACATGGGTTTACGGAGTTTTAAACCTCGCCAGTGACCTTCATTCATGCATACCATTACACAAAAATCCTAGAATTTTTTTTGGAATCTAAGAAATTTAGCCATGAATACATCTCATAGGCCAAATGGATAAGCACACTCATTACATCATCCGGAATTTAAAAAACAATCCACAAATAAATTAAGATTTTGGCTTCAACGATTCCAGAAGTGTATTTCGGGAAAACCATTAAATGAAAATTCTGTTTTGTTTTGCGTTTATCTCGGTAATTATAAGTTTTAAACAAGTAGAAATTCATATTTTTTAAATCAACAAATAAAGTTTTTATTTTATTACATTTTATTTTCAACACTAAAAATATAAAACTACATAATAGGCAGCTGATTTTAGAAATATGACATATTTTTAGTAAATGGCTGGTTAGGATATATATAATACATTTGAAGACGTGGGTCACGTTTTTTGAGAAGATGGAGTCGGTGCATGAATCGTCATTCGATTGGTTCCGAATTGGATTGTTCGTATTTCAGTTTTCGTTGAACTGTATGTATTCATCTTTGTATTCTATATTATCTTTGAACTTGATTGAAATAGAGGACGAATTAAACGTGAGAATGTTGCTAGGTATATGTATTGGTGTAGCTGCTGGCTGGATCGCTGATTCTTGGATTCATAAATTTAAACTGCATACCATATTTCTGACTTTCACTTTCATAGCTTCTTTTTTGACACTCGTATTTTCTATCGACTACAAACCACATCAACGAAACTTCCAATTATTTCTTAAGTACGAATACATTTTGTTTTTCACATGGAATCCGATAGCGTTTTCTATTTATTTTGATCAGGTGATATACAAAAAATCAGATTTCGGTTTAAATAATTCAACATTCTTCTGCGTCTGGACTCGTTTTGTTACACAATGCATTTTTGCAACATTATATGACGTTATTGTGAGATATATCGGTTACAGATTTCTGTATTTTTTTGTGTCTTTAACAACGACCCTCATATTGGCCTCGTTGATATTCGTAACACTCTTATTTGCAAGATGGGGTTTCAAGCCGCCCGTGTTCTTCAATTTGCCTTGCACTACATTATTGTATGGAGCGTACACATGTGAAATTCGGCTAAGGGAAAAATTCGGGGTAGAAACCGAAGAACGAAGGGATCCAAGAAATTTTCCACCGAATGTCCAATTCATGTGCAAAAGGTTTTGGGCTGTTACAATTTTGGCGTCATTTATTGCGTTCTTTGGACATATGAAAATGCTGGCAAGTGCCACTTACACTGTGCTGTCGATTTTGATAGTCGGTAGTACGCCTTCTACGTTTTACTTATTTTATTTATATACTTCTTTGACCACGACGATATTGCTTCCGATTTATTATTACTGTTCTAAGCGTTATAAGTGGTTTTATAATGATTTTGGTCTGATAGGCGTGGGGAAAATATTCATGGTCATATCCTTATTATATTTGATGTTTATACACGTGGTGATGGATTTTCATGAGGCCGCACAACCTGAGTACGACTTCGCACAAATCAGAATCTTCAATATCCTCGATTCGCCTACAGGTGTAATTTCCAGTTTCTCGAATCTCGTTATCCAACCCATCTCGTTCGCTATTTTCACGAAAATAAAAATAAACATCCATGGATTTGAAACAATAATGGAAATAATTAACCACAAACACGGAATACACCAGACTTCTGCTGTCATATTGGTGGATGGTATGTCACTGTGTTATTACGTGGGAAATGAAGGTTTTGAGTTTGCCGGTATCGAGCCGTTACGCCCGAGATTCTATAGTATATTAATGGAAGGACTAGAAATGAATCCAAAAGCTTATTTTGTCTCATCGTATAAAGACGCAGAACTGTCTGTGAGATACAAAGACGGTCGTGTCATCCAAATACCTAGAATAAATTCAAGTAAGTTCAATTATGCAGATATTTTTGAAGGAACGTTCGACGTGTTGGTCACGGCCCAAGGGAAGACCACAGTGCATTACAGTAACTTCGAAACCTATAAAGACTGTGTTTACGCTATTTTGTTGTTCGAACCGACATCCGTCAGTGGTGTAAAAATTTTCACCGTCAAGCACTCGAGGATACTACCTGTACAAAGTTTGATACCGTCTGCGGTGTTTTTCGGTATGGGAGCTGGAATAGTTATATTTCATAGGACCAAATGTTTTATTACCGAGGCCCCGCCGCCCCTCAGATCGGTTTTCATATCGGCAGTGACCTTTTTTGAAAATATGCCGAATTTTTTATACTTTTGGAATGTTTATTACAAATTCATTTTAGATTTCAAACAGCTTCAAATCAACATAACAATCGTTTTAATAATTTTATTATTGTACGGTTCCCTGGTCATAAGGCATCGAACTTATACCTTCACAACCTACTCCTCCGATGTCGAGCCCGAACAACTGCCAAAGGAAAAGACGTCGACTAAGGAATTAAGGAATGTAATGAGGCATGTTTCTGAATCCTTAACAAATCAGAAAAGAATCGAGTAGTTTTAAAAATTTAATCATGACAAACTTGAATGAAAATAAAACACTGAGATTAAGTGTTCATTCTGTTTCTGTTCGAATGATAACACTTATAATCATAAGTAAAATAAAACATGTGTTTAGACAATTTTTTATAAAACTTCTCGACAAATTTTAAAAATTTCTTGCGTGTGTAGTAACATATCTCACACAAAGATCCTATGTTCAATTAAAACTTGGCAAACAGGGAAAGAAGATAATATTTGAGTAAACTCCGGTTTAATATTTAAAAACAAACAGATAGCGAAAATCCAATGTAATTAAAAGTAGAGTAGAGAGCAGAGTCTATGAGAGACTTATTGGATCCGTTCTCCACAGAAGATGGCGCAATGCCGTAACGCGTTTCAGTAGTACAATAAACTCGCGAATGATGAAGGGCCCTAAAAGTGACACAGTGCCTGTTCAAAATAATTAAACGGAGTTTTTACAATGACTTACATTATTACATTGTTAAAATTTGTATATTTATTTATTGTTAATGTTTTTTTATATATATATAATTTGTAGTACTTTACAACTACCTTAAAGCAGGTAATAAGTAACAGTGAGCAAGTTCATTAAAACAAGACAAAATTAAAACCAAGAGTGGAGAAAACACCCATTGGTATTNTATGAAGTAGTACAATGTGTTGGCTTTTTTGGCTTAGGGAACATTCGAATATACGAGTGCTTCCAAGTTATAGGAAGTAGGTTGTACGAAATTGTTAATGTTAAAGATAGTTTTTGACTTTGAAATTTTATGACGTTTATTTTGCCTTTACGAATCTATCGATTGACACATTCGTTTCGAACCACTTCGCTGATAAATAATTACCGCCATGATAGCTGCTAATAATTTGAAAAAGATCACAGATTTATTTAGATTTTTTCCATTTTCTCGTAAATAAATTTGTATATATTGAAGTCGAATTTTTTTTGCAGAAAAATATAATTCATTTGGACAGGGGGCGAGATAAAAATCATACTAAAACCATCACGGCAATTTAGCTATGAATTAATTTTGGCTTCGGATATAATATGGACTGTTTAAATTGGTTTCTGCCATTACCATCCCAATGAAAGAACATGCTTCAAAAATGAGACCAAGTATTTCTTAACTTAACTAGGGAAGACGATAATACATACATATATCATAGTAGGATGAGCTTCAGAGAAGACCTTGTTGTTTGAAGCTTCTGATAACTGCTTGCTCCTTAAACAGTTGGTTACTCTATGGTCATTGACTATTGTTTGGACGGCGAAAGTATTGTATGGTATGGCGATGTTAGCTCTGTAATAAGACATGTTTTGTGATCGTGTAGTGGCGCTGGCAATAAGAGCCGGTTTTATGGAGCTGTTGAGCTTCGTGCAACTACGGTTGTGAGCGCGGAGTTTTGGAAGCTGGTGCTATTTTCAGCTAAGAAGACTCGGGTTTCAGACAGCTGTGAGCCAAATCAGCTTTCGAGTGAGCATTGAGTGCGAGATTGAGCTATATATAGAACTGTGAATGTACAAGTTGAAAACCCGTCAACGGGTCTGACATACGCCGGTCGAACCTCTGCTTACAGTGTCAATCCATAAGGGTTTCCAGTGTCGTGGTGACTTCCAGCACTTCTAGCAGTACGCCTGATGGAAACTTCAGTAATCCACAGGCAGTTACCTCAAGTTTTATCCTTTTTCACTTGATTTTTTGGAGGATTGATAACAAATTCAATTAGCAATTTCTCAAATGAAGGTTTTCTTTCTATTCTACCATTTGAATATTTGAGCTTTAACTTAAGTTCATTGTTTCAAAATATAAACGATTTGGGACAAAAGCTTATTTAATAAATGATGTTGACGATTGCCGCACTTACACTTCTTTCATTTTAGTAATAAGGGATTAATAATAAGACTATTTAGTAAGGATTTAGTCATTTCGAACAGAGAAAAATACCGGCATAAACCTGACTAGGAATTGTTTTAGCTGAATGTTAAAACTAAATATTTTTCAATACATTTGCGGCAAATATTTTTTGTACACATGTTTAAAAATAATAATTTAAAAATGAAGCTGATGACAGTTTAAAGATGGCTTCAGTGATATTTGAAATTCCAGTGACATAACTACACAAATATGCAAGGGCTACTCACCTTCTTCCAACAGTACCGTAAGTACACAGGGTCACATGTGATGCAATTTATTACGATTGTAATGCGTTTCCACGTTTAGTACCTGAGCTGGAAAGAGTAATGAAAAAGACCAAGACGACCAGCTTCAGATTCAAAGGGAAAGAGTTCAAGCTGAAACCGAATCGCAAAGGGAGGATGAAAAGAACTAAGTTGGATCCGGCGACGAAAATAGCAAGGACGGTATTCAGGTCTATGCAAGCTCACGTCGACCGACTGACCAAAAATTCGAAAAGGTTCAAAGACTTGGCCTCGGAATCAGCCATACCGATAACAACTGAAGCAAAGGTAAAAAAAAGTGTGCAATGGAAGCCATTGCAGCTGTGCCGTGTGTAGCCCAGCTAACCCAAGCTGAGATTAACGTTACTTCTTCCAGATTGTTAAACCTTCAAGGAGCAAAGTACCCAGAATTAAAAAATATTCCAGTTCAAAAATAACCGCCGAGAAAACTAACTCATCCGTCAACGAGAAGAAATTACATTCGAAAACGAGGTCTAAATTAACTCGTCAAAACTCGAGTTCCTCAGTCGCAAGCAAAACGTAAGTCCTACACCAATGACAGTATAAAATATTCGTTTATCCATTTTTTTTTTCAAAATCAGGAAAAAAGTAAAATCGGAAAATAAAAAATCAAGGCGTTCAAAGATTGCAGACGCGGAAAAATCAGATATTAAGAACATATTAGAAATGAAAAGGGAAGAGTTTCTAAGGTGTCTTAAAAATCTCCAAGACGAATTATCAGGTATCCCACTCATCACTTGAAATTAAACTTAAGACCTAAATTTTAAAAAAAATTGAAACAAAACGACTTTGGCAGCAAATTTTGTAGCCCAATAAAAACGGAAAGTGTAAAAATTGCATTACCATTCGCAACAAAATTGGTCTATTGAACATTCACCGAATTCTAGCTTATGCAATGAGAAGGAAATTTGTTGTGGTGGTTTATTTTGGAGCTATTTCGTTGTTGAGCCAAATAGATGTGGTAGCCGATGTAGTAGTGAGCTTAGGGCCTCGGGCAGTTATCAGTAACATCGTCTCTAAAATGTATGAGCCGTAAATAGAACTGTTATATGGTGTTGCTTAAGATGGTTTCTGCACGTTCATTGGATGCAATTTGGAAGCCTGAAGAATTGTAGAAAAAGTGGTGACGCCTCGGGAAAATTTTAGTAAGCGCCACAGGCAGTAGAATAATAGACTAATTGAACTGAATTAAAGAGCTAAGAAAATTAAAAAAAGCCTCCAGGCAACAGTGCTTAGGAAACAATTCCACTTCCTATTGCGTCATTCCATAAAAACGGAAGGTGTATAAAGCTATGTTGGTCTTGCAATGTGACGGGTTTAGTGACTGGAGTGCTCTGACGGAAAACAACAAAATTACCAGGCCAAGGAAAGGTCGAAAAGGACACGTAGTGGCTCTGAACCCTTTTGCGACATCCCAGATTTGCAAAAAAGTACATCAATCAGCCACAGGATTAAGAATAATTCCCCATTAAGAATAATGGGATTCCAGGACAGAGAAAGGAGGCAAAAGTTCAGCAAATGACCGTCGCAGGAGCTAACGGCACACCTACTAAATTTAGGACGTGTTAGATCTAGATAATAGTTGGACCCCAGAGGAATATGCAACAAAACAAACCTGTGCAGATATTGCCAGAAGAAGAAGAAACAGCGAAACATGTCCTCTGTTGGTGCGAAGGCTCATGTAAGCTGAGATTCCTACTCCTGAACAAAGTTTTAAAACCTGGTAAAAAGCCTTTCGCAATGAGGATCTCTAGGTAATAAAGGATATACACAATAGACGATAGTCGTGGTATTCAGGTCGTAAAGAAGCGACTCCTTTTAACCCTTTAACCTTTAGTGACAGGAGTGGTGGAGTAGCTCTGAGAAGGTATTGTTGAGCTTCAAGCCACATTGACTGTGTCCAGTGCGATGAGTCGGGCTAATGAAACCGGTGCTGTTGTCTGTGAAGTTGCCTTGAGAAGGTGTTATGTTGTTGAGTTGTTGAGAGGTTGTATGCCGCGCTGTGCGATCCCGCGGGTCTCGAGGCAATAGTCGTTTGAAGCGATCGGAGGCCAATAACTGTGAGCTAAGTTGGCTGTTAAATGAACGATTGCGGGCTGTTGAGCAGAAAGGTTAGGATGGGTTTATAGATCGGAGTGAGGCTGCAGGAACGAATAGTGTGGTTTGTGACGTAGTAAGGCGTTTCAAGACTTCTTCTGAACGGGTTAGATGTCTTGATGGTACCCTATGGCTCCGTCCGTATGTCCAAAAGGATCGATTTGTTGTATGTATTAGTGAAATTTTTTTCAAGAATGTAGTTGACCAAGTCGTCTGTTGAGTTTTTGTGGCTTAAGACTTGTATGATCCACTCCAGTCTGCTTTTTAGATTCAGTCTTAATGCGGTAAAAAACATAAATTTGCCCGGCTAAGTATCTGCTTCAGAAACCTGACCATAAGTAATGATTTTTCTTCTTCAGAACAGCCGTGTTGCTATGAAAGATTGTGGACGGTTTTAAAGTATCAAGCAGCTCTCTAGAATTTTGGGTGCCTTCTTCCCCCTAGGAGTGAATTTGACCTAAGACCTGGGTCGACCAAGTTGCCTGTTAAGTTTGTATAAGTATGTTCTAAGAACAGCAGTTTAACTTGTCTCGGTGATCATATCATATAAGATAGTATTGCGACTATTAGAAGTATAGGTTCACACGAATTCTGCATTAATAATTTACTTGTAAGAATGAGTAGTTCAATCGTTTAAAATACAATAATTTTATGTTTACTATCGAGCAATTAACCCTAATTAGAAAATAAATTGAACGTTTGTTTCTAGCGTTGAAGGTGCCGGATTTCAACCTGCCGCAAAAGGATTTGGTATCCAAAGATAAAAAGAAATCGACGAACACCGCCACGAAGAAAAAGTCGACAGCATCGAAAAAACGCAAAGACAGCAAAGCTCCAAAAAAGAAATCGGAAGATTGGTGTCTCAACAGAGAGCTGAGCAGCCAGTCCATGTTCTCGAGCGACGACTACGACTTCGAAAAGCACGCCCTCGACGTCAGGGAAAACCTGAAAATGAGTGACCTGGGGCCCGGAGTCTACCCTAATCTGAACACACTCCCGCAGCCAAAGAACAGATTGTTCAACACCATTCGTCAGCTCGCAGAGGCATATAACAAACCGAACTCGATGCCCAACACGATCAGCGACATCAATTTGGCAACCCTGGAACTGAAAACGGACGGAGTCGGTGACGGCGAGATGAACGCGAGCGACTTCTTCGAATGGGCTCAGAGGCCGCTCAAAGGTATTAAATTTCCAGACGGTGTCGCCTGATGTCCTGTCAACTTTTGTTTTTTTCAAGAAATACAGTTTTAAAAGTTGGCTTTCTATTCTATTTGCAGAGTTAATTTTATATGAATAAATAGAATTATTTTGCGGGGAGAAGAGTCAGAAATTACAGTGAGTACGGTTGGAGTCGAGCTTCGACTACCGCGGTACCCTTTCGGAAACTTAAACTGCGCCTTCTTTTCATTGCACCCACCTTACCTCCTTCTTTACCGAGCAGTTTGCGAGAAACATGTTCGTCTTGGGACTGGGCATGGAATACCTCCGTGAATTGCCTCTTTTCAAAGCCTGTCTTTGTGATCACGGCTGGAGATCACTGAGATCATTTCTTTGCAGTTTAGCATGTATTATACTAGGTACAGGCCATCTTCTTGTTCCAATGAACAAGACCATTAGATTATAAAGGAGCCAGCCTCTTTACGACCTGCGCATCGCGACCAGTATTGGTCTATTATGCATCTCTTTTTTTTATCTAGAGCTCTTCGTTAAGCTTGACGCTTTTTACCAGGACCCCGAAGCTTTTCAAAGGCTCCGTGTGTATCCTTCAGGCCCTGGCTTTTCCTCTCCCAGTATTAAGAATTTCAGCCTACATAGGCCTTCGCCCCAACAGAGGACGTGTTCCGCTGTTTCTTCTTCTTCTTGGCAACATCTACACAGGCTTGTTTCTGCCACTCTGAGAGTATACACATGCTTCCGGAGTCTGCAGTGTCCAGTTAGCAGTCCAACTATTATTCTAGTCCTCCTATTATTCTAGTTCTCCTACATACGAGTTCAGGGCCAATAAGTGTCCTCATTGAACTTTCTTGGCCAATTTATCTGCCTCTTCGTTGCCCCTCTGCCCTGGGTGCCGTGGCAACGGCTCTAGATGCGGCAATTGCATTCAGTGCCGCCTGGCTGTCTAAGTAGATGGCTATTCTTCTATTGATAATCCTCAGCCTTTGTATCTCCCTGTCACAGTGTTTAATAGCCACAGTTTCCGCTTGAAAATACCATACATAGAACTCGTACATCTTCCCCTCGTGGTAATACCTGTGAACCAGCGCTGGTACAAGACCTCGCAATATAAATCTTAAAGCAAAGATAAGGAATATTTTGTCCAAGTATCTTGTACTTTTGGTCAAAACAATACTTACATAGACCGTACTGTCAAAATCGAAATGCAGTCTTACACTTAGGCGTGGCAGATGGATTCACTGTAACCGACGCGATTTGGCATCTAAGGTCAAACTGAGTTATGTTTAAGCTGTCTTTGAAACTTTCCAGCGGAAAATGTTTACTTCCTATCAACCTCGTTGCCAGAACGACCTTTCGAATAATTAAGGTTAATACATGTCGGGGGTTGTCACGTGTAAGATGAGTGCGAGCTGTTGAGAGGACCATTTTTCCGGATTACTTTCTAGAAAGAATGGCTTCTTTTGACTAATGCTCCATTAGTGAATGTAAGTCGAAGAAAGTGAGGAGGGAGAACTCTTCGGTTTAGACCCTGGTTAAATAGTCGGTTAGTGTTGGTTGGGAGACAGAAGCATTGTCGTGGTGACTGCCAGTATATACGTGGTGGCAATAATAACATTATTAAAAGTTTGTTAGACAAAAATGTCCAGCAAGAATTAGCAAGTCGGCTGGATGCAGTGTTGTGCGTTTTCGTGAGAACCTTTGGCGAGTGTCATCCACCTGTTGGAGGAGTTGGTTTCTAATGGTTTATTCCTCTATCAGAGAAATATCGCTATAGTGCCTGTTTAATACAGGAGTTCTGCACGTCATTGGATGCTATTTAGTAACATAACTAGTGACCTCTAGTAGAATCTTTAAAAATTCGCAGGCACCTTAAGAGCATACCATAGTATTCTCCTTCTTGAAAGGAAAATCTAGTCAGTTCAAGGAAGTAGGAAAATTACAATAAACCAAAAGGATCTCTTCCGACCTCTAACTCATCTTTCTCAAACATTTTAATCAAAAGTCGTTAGGTGAATAGTTAATGCTCTGTATTAAGTGGCGAATATTACGTTCCACCTTGTAATTCCCCAAATATTTTCCATGTTTCACAATGAACTTCACCCCTATTGTTCAAGTTTGTCCTACAGAACCCATCTCTATAATCCCAACCGACGTCTAATGAGGAGATAGCCCCACGACCTCCTCTCAGTAGGATAGATTTAGAGTAATAAGGAGATTAACAGTGGATATTAGCTTTCCTTAGTATTGTCTTGTATTTAAATACTCCACGGTTGATAATAATGAAAGTATTATACAAAATGAATGTTGTAAAGTTTCATTCATACCATCGCACGGTTAGATCTTAGATAGATGGTTCCGACTGAACGGAACTTCCTGCAACCTTCGTCTTCTTAGAAAGCCCATCGTCTTTTATCACTCGTTGACAAGAAAGACCCCCTCGTCGTGGGGGGGGGTGATTTTTCAAGTTGTTTTTCAAAAGCGTGGAGGTGCGGGAGCGTAGGGTGGCGTTGCGAGAGGGTGCCGTACTCAGGCATGCGCCTCGTCCCTTTGCATGAGGAATACACCAAATCGATGCCGGTCAGTCGCGAGTCGGCGTGGGGCGCTGTCGCTCGACGAAACTGACTTTTTTACGTTTTTAACCAAACCACCAAAATTTCGTTAAGGTATGACAAATTTTTCATATTTTTCACAGTCCTTTTACTCTTTATACAGCCTAGTAACGACCTCAGGATGAGAAACTCCCGGAAGGTTCAAATGACTATTTAATTTTTTTTATCTAGGCGTGTTTATGCTTCGTACTTGGAGCTCAATGAAATCTTAGTACATATTTTTATTTTGTTATAAAAATAAAAGTATTTTATTAGGTCTTATATTGACCATCGAATCAGAAATTCCCCTACAGATTTTTATCAGTACGATAATTAATAAATTCTTACTATGACAAGCAATTTATAAATATTTCCAACAACTAAAAACATAGCGAAACCTCGTAAATGTTTAAAGAATTGAAATTTTGTTTTTATGATGTGGATCAACCGGCGCGACTTCAGTCCGAAGAGCATGTACTGCCTGACCATAGCAGTAATCCGGCGGAATTGTACGTTGACTTATAATACTAATAGCGATAGAGGAGATAACTAATGATGTTGGGAATAATATATTTTTATCAGTTGCGTTACCATAAAACAAACATATCCAAAGCATTTCCATTTCAGATTGACAAAAACAGTGATTGCGATGTTACGGATTTGATTCCTTTTTTACCATCTGCTTGTCCCATACGGAATTTTATTTCTCATGCGCTTTTTTTAGATATCTTTCTCATTTGAAACAAAAGTTCGAACTGAAACACAGTTTCGTGAAAACTGACATGTTATTAAATTTTTTTAAAACTTTCTGTACTGACAAAGTTTAAATGACGATTGTATTCAGCCTTGTGAACTGGAGATTGCTGAATTTGTCAGTATGTCGAATTTTTGTCATGGCATTTTGTAATCAAGACATTTATTTAATTTTGAAAGCTACCCTGCAGAATGACTTTTAATAGTGGACGTGTTTTTTTTTCGGTGTTTTTTTTTTTTAAAGCAAAGATTAAGGTTGACCTCCAAGGATTCATTAAAAGAAGAAGTTTGGCAAGGAGGACCTTCCTCACCCTTGATTTATGGTTACAATTTACTGAAAAATAACTCTTGCTCTTTGTTTAGATTTATTTTTGATTTTTTCTAGTCCGAAATAGTCGAATTGTTCATGACAAAATTTTTAAAAAGAGGTCTTAAACAGAAAATGTCGAACCTAGCAGAAAGGAAATCAGGATCAAACGAATTACGGGGTTATTAAAGTTTCGTTACGGAATTAGCCCTTAATTTCCGTGGATTTCGTTATCGATTTAGGCTCAGTAAAAAAGGTATATATTTCAGATAATCCACTATGTTTTTCTGATAGATGTATTCAGAGAGAAATTTAGTCGTTTAAGAACCAAAAAAATTCAGAAGAGAAGTGTTTTAGCACGTCTTCATTAATGGTTGGTATTTCATTATCAACTCTTATCTTAAATGTGATAACAATACATTTTAGTAGTTTAATCTTTACCAAACGTATTCTCGCGCTTTTGTTCGTCAAAAATGTTTTGCCACTTTGTCAATTTAGTGTTGTTTATTTCATTACCCACTCTTGTCTTAAAGGTGTTATATATTTTTGTAATTTAGTTTTCTCCAATCACCCTGGCCTGCCTATCCTCCTTGATTAGTCATTCGACATCTTCAGTGGTGTGTACTTCATTACACCCCTTGTTTTAAAAGTGCTAGGACCGTATTTGTACGGTTTAATCTTCTCCAATCACCCTCGCCTGCTTATCCCGCTGCTTTGGCATTTCGCCATCTTCAGTGGTTTGCATTTCATCACCACCTCTTGTTTAACAGTTATAGCACTCATTTGTCTAACTTCATTATTTCCAATCAACCTACCCTGCTTATCATGCTCTTTTGGTATGTAAGAAGTGTTTTAGCTGTTCCACATCTTCAGTGGTGTGTACTTCATCACCACCTCTTGTATAACAGTTATAGCACTTATTTTTCTAACTTGATTATTTCCAATCAATCTACCCTGCTTATCATCGCTCTTTTGGTCTCTAAGAAGTGTTTTAGCTCTTCCCCATCTTCAGTGGTGTGTACTTCATTTACGCCTTTTGTTTTAAAAGAGCTAGGAATATGTTTGTGTAGTTTAATCTTCTCTTAGTTATAAGAGAAGATAAGCACATAAGATAAGCAGCAATTTGGTCTGCTTATCCCGCAGTTTTGCCACTTGATCATCTTCAGTGGTGTATTTCATCAGTACCGCTTGTATAACAGTTATAGCATTTTATTTTCTAACTTGATTATTTCCAATCAACCTGCCCTTCTTATCATCGCTCTTTTGGTCTCTAAGAAGTGTTTTAGCTCTTCCCCATCATCAGTGGTGTTTACTTCATTAACACCTTTTGTTTTTAAAGAGCTAGGAATATATTTGTGTATTTAATCTTCTCTTATAACTTTGGTCAGCTTATCCCGCAGTTTTGCCACTTGGTCATCTTCAGTGGTGAGCTTTCATTATCCACTCTTGTCTTAAAGGTGATAGCAATATATTTTTGTAGTTTAATTTTCTCCAATCACCCTGGCCAGCTTATCCTCCTTGTTTTGCAATTCGCCATCTCCAGTGGTGTGTATTTTATCACCACCTTCCCTGCCCTGCTTATCATCGTTCTTTTGGTCTGTAAGAAGTGTTTTAGCTCTTCGCAATTTTTATTGGTGTGTATTTCATTAACACCTCTTGTTTAACAGTTATAGCATTTATTTTTCTAACTTGATTATTTCCAATCAACCTGCCCTTCTTATCATCGTTCTTTTGGTCTCTAAGAAGTGTTTTAGTTCTTCCCCATCATCATTAACACCTCTTGTTTTAAAAGTGCTAGAAACATACTTGTACATTAATCTTCACCAATCACCCTCGCCTGCTTATCCTTGCTGCTTTGGCACTTCGTCATCTCAAATAGTGGGCATTTCATTATCACATCTTTTCGTAAAAGTGATATGTAAATATTTTTGTAGTTCCGTCTCTTCCAATCGACCTGGCGTGCTTACCATCCCTCTTTTCGTCTGTCACAATTGTTTTGACGTTTGATCGTTATCCGTAGTGGCTGTCAGGATTTACTTGTTCTTACAATTATCAGAATAATTTTTTACTAGATCGTTTCCAATCACAATGGTCTGCTTATTCTCTCTAGTTTTATCCTCTGTTGATAAACCCGCTGCTGACGATGTCGGATAGACAAAACACTCAGGATAGGTGGACCCAAATGACCGTAAATGTCCAAGCTGTTTTTAATATAGCTCAAAATTCTCATATTTGCTTACCGAATTTGTTTTGGTCCAAAAAATCTCATAAAATAAAAATGATATATTCAAAAATGAATTTTTTTTAAAATATGTAAACCGTTAATGAAACTACAGCGAATTTTCCGGATTGCTCTTGATCTTCTTTAATCATCTCAGTTTAATGTATCGAATTCGACCAGACGGCAGAAAACAAGCATCTAATGAGAAAAGTAGAATATAATAAATTTTACCGAATTGACAGTAGCAGAATTGTAGTAATTTATTGCACATTTAAAACGCGAGAAATTCGCAGTAAAGAGCATAGAAATTAATCGCTTTTGGTTTAGTCTTTTATACTTTTGATCCAGCTAAGTTGTTAATCGAATTCAGCTGTGGTGAAAAATTATTAATGCTCTCGACCAGACTTTAGCCGAATACAGCCCATTCTGTGGAAATAGCGAGGGCGTAAATTTTAGATTTATGTTGTTCCCCCTCACTCCCGCACAGCTCAAAATGAACTCATGGTGAATTCAGTGCCTGACAAAAAACAGCTTTCGTCTTAACGATTCAACGAAATGGCAAAATTTATTTAATAATAATTGAAATCGCAGATAATCGTCAAAGTGGCTATCAGGTTTTATTTACCCTTTTTTCTCTAATGGGTAAATCTGACAACTATAAATAAATCTCTCAACTGACAACTAAATAAAAATTGGGCTAAATTTAAAAATGTGTGACCTTAGATTTTAATGGTACCATAATGATCACGGGTAAGGATCCTCTGACTCTATCACTACTGATGAAGGAGGCGATGGTGTTGCTAACCGGATGGTGTGGTGACAAAGGTCTTTCGATAAATCCTACTAAACTGGAACTGATAATGTTCATCAATAGGCAATTTTAAAAACCCAATATGTCAGGGTATTGAATTAAAATTAAAGGATTCAATCAAATTCCTTGGGATAACGCTAGAGGAAACTTGATTGGAAAGGCCATATTAAAAATATACATAGGAAAGGCACTATATCCATGGTGCAGAGTAGGAGAATCGTTGGTAGAACATGGGGTATTAAACCATGGGTGGCCAAATGGATATACACCGCGATCATACTACCAAGATTTCTATTTGCAGCCCTANCAGGACTCGTGAGCCGACCAGGTCCCGGACCTTTTAGGGATGGGGTACGGGCCTACCCAGGCTTTTAACCCCTCGAGTCCTGGTCGCCCGCCCTGCATAATATATATATAGATTTTAATTTTTTTTTTTACAGAAAAATATTTTTGTTCTAAATTCAATTCAGGAGGATTAAGGCTGAAACCTTTTACCACATTAATCTCCCATGATATCATAGACATTCTGTCCTCGAAGTAGTGGGCTCGGTTTCTCCCGAAAGAAAATAAATTTGATAAATGTTTATTTCAATAGTTTCAATTTAAAAATAAGCGTAATAAAATAACAATAAACGAATTGGGAAAGGGTGGATATAATTGATATCGTCAACCTCTTATTGAGTTCGACGTGCCTTAGTTTTGACAAAGGGCAAAAAGCTCTTGCGCCAGGGCCAGAAAACTTAACTGTCAAGTGCCTTTCCCTAGAGTGTTAAGGAACTCAGCTGAATTGAAAAGCACTCCGCCCTATGAATTGACTGAACGAATACAAGAAGGGACTGGAAATTTCACTTTTTTTCAGAAATATTTTGCCACTTGGTCATTTTCAGTGTTGGGTATTTCATTATCCACTCTCGTCTTAGTACTGATAGCAAGGTATTTTTGTAGTTTAATCTTCTGTTATAACTTTGTTCTGCTTATCCCGC